AAAAAAAAAAAAAAAGAAAAGAAAGTGGGTACCAGGTGAAATCTGAATTTCAGGGATCATTAGCTGCGTTCCATCTTGCCCTCCTGTGGAGGTGCCTGCAAACCTCCACGTCACCACTCGAGGGCACCCGGCGCTCATGGTTAAAACCTTCCACAGCCCTAATGTCCAAGGTCTCTGCCTTTAGAGCAAAGCTGTTGCCGGACCCGTCCTGGACTCCCCTCGCGAGAGCAGGCTGCAGGGGATGGCTCACACCCCGGTGGGGCTGGGGGCTGGGGTGGGGACCTTAGAACTCTCCACTGCCCGCCCTCTTGCTCCTCCATTCTAGTCAACATTCAGTGCCTGAAACGGGCTCTACATAAATATTCCGAGGTCTGTTCACTGACTTTGGGGGGGTACTAACTCTGTTACTGCACTGGGGGTGGGGGTCAGCGGCCAGCAGTGCCCGTGGGTCCAGGGGACACTGGCTGCCCATCATTCTCTCTTTGCCTTACTGGCCTCCAGCATAGGAAGGGTCACAATAGTGGAGGCTGCTGGCTCCCTGCATTCGCCTCTAATCCTGCCATCCAACCCACATCGTTGAACCCATTTTACAGATGAGAAAATGGAGGCACAGAGTGTTTAAATCATTGCCGAGCACAGAATTAAGGAGACAAATTACTAAATGTAGACCAGGCTTTACACCCAGGTTGAGGGTTTTGAGTGGCCGGGGCTGGTTTCATATATCCAGGTCCTCCTCTGCTCCTCCCTCTAACTGTTCAGCCCTGCCCCGCAGCCTCGCCTCACGTGTGGTCTAGAAGGTCGATGCCAGGGAGCTTGTATCTACTCATCTCTCTATTGTGGGGGTGGGGGAAGGGTCTGAGCACCACCAACATGCTGACTTCCAGGTCCTTTTGGAATATCAAAGTTGATCCTGGGCCCCAAGGTTGGCCTTGGCTTCCCTGAGAGAGCCAGTGGTTCTCAGCTCTAGTGTGCATAGGACCGCCTGGGGCATGGGTTCAAAATGCAGGGACGCTCCTCCAAACATGCTCCTCCAAACATGTGGGGCGGGGCCCACAGGGGCCATTTTACTAGCAGGGGTCATGCTGGCACAGGGCTGCTCCCTGATCTGGGAGCCCTGCTCCACCTGTCCCCACTGTGTCCTAAGCTCTGGTGTAGGTGTTCCCAAAATTCCCAGGCACATTGCCTCCTTCTCTCCCTCCCTTCCTTCTTTTCTCCCTTTTCTTCCTGTTCTCTCCCAGAACTCTTATCTAATCAATAAACTGCTATGCATCCTTCAACGCCCAACTCCACTGATAGCTGTACGAAAGCCCTCTCTGTCCTGGTCCCCCAAGCAAAATTAATCATCCCCTCATCTGCATTCGGTTACATACATGCCACTGTATGTGACTCTTGCTGTTTTCCCTTCTGTATACCCAGCCAGACCGTGTGCCCCGGAGGACAAGGCTGGGGTCTCGCTCATCTTTGTGCACGCCGCCCCCCAAGCAGGCTGCACCGGCTCCACAGGAAAGCTGATGAGCCCAAGCCACTGAGCAGATGCCCCTGCTTGGCCCAGCGACACGGGGGCCCTACCTGGACAGCAATCACCGACAGGACTTCCACCGAGATTCGGTTAAATTCATCAAAGCAGCCCCAGGCTCCGGTCTGGGCCAGCCCCTTGTAGATGTTTCCACAAGACTAGAAAGGGTGAGTTTGGAGAAGGGTGCATCAGGGAGAGGAAGAGAGGAGAGAGCTGGCCCGAGCCTTGCTGGGCCTCCACCTGCCCCCTCGCTGCTCACAGTCCTGCTCCCGGCTCCTGGACAGAGGCTCGGGCTCCGGAGCTTGGGGCCTGTGGAAGGCCAGCGGGAGCTGGCAGGATGGCCCACTCCCCGGAAGGAGTTAATGGCGCACAGGGATGGGTGCCCGGAAGAGCCCGTCCTCTCCCCATGATCCTTCAGCACCCAGGCCCTCCCTGAGATGGGGCTTCACCTGGGTGCCCTCACTGGACGGCTCAGACAAGGGCATTCGTGTAAAAGACAGCCCTTGAATTTTTTCCCAGCACACAAAGGAGGGGGCTTCCCTCTGAGATGGGGGTGGGTGTGCCCGTCAGAAGACTTTCTTCTAGATGTTTGTCACTCCAGCTGGGTAATCAGGACGATACTTCAACATTTACATATGGGATTCCAGGTAAATATTAAAATCCTTCTAGGGGGATCCAGCCTCAGGTTTCACTTTTCTAAAATCCAGGAGGCTTGTGTGGGCTGTGGCCTTGACAGTCAAAAGGGGCAGCTGGCCCCGCCCTCACCTCAGGATGGGGTCCCCCAGAGGGTGGGGCTCAGATAGGCATGAGGAGGGGCCCCTGCAGGCCCAGGCTCCTGACCTCAGTGCCCCGCACCTCCCCCCCAACCCCAGGGGCTGCTTAGACCTGGACCTTCAGGGGATCCTCTCTTTTGGGGCCCTCTGAGAACTGACGCTGCCCTGCAAAGTCTCTGGTGACCGCTGGGACCTGGCCCATCCCCTGCTCCCCTCCTAAGCCTGCCTGGACGCGGCTTTTACCTGGAAGCCCCATGCTGAACTACGACAGGGGTGCTCACTCTGGAGTCCCTGGTTGCTGGGGCAAGCTTGGAACCGACATTGGGACGACGTTACCTCCAAGGGTGGGGCAGGACATTTGGGGCTGGGTTTGTCAACCCTGGGAGCCTCTTCCCGACACACTTGTCACACCCAAGAGGCCCTGGCTTCCCAGGAGGGCCAAAGCTGCCAGTGGGGGCACAGCTGCTCAGCCCGTCCATTGGGTTCCTCCCCGGGTTTGGCCGGCAGTGTCCAGACATCTAGAACTCACTCGGGGTGTGGAGGCTGCAGCCTCCTGGGGGAAGGTGCCGTATTTGGTCCTCCACGGGGACCTCTGAGGCCACCTCCGGGCCTGGGATCCGTACCTTGTAGTCCATCTGCTCGGAACAGTTGAAGACATACACCATGGTGCCCAGGGCTCTGCCCAGGTCCTTGGTTGTCTCCGTCTTGCCGGTCCCAGCGGGGCCAGCGGGGGCTCCGCCCATGATCAGGTGGAGGGACTGGGTCAAGGTTATGTAGCATCTGCAAGAGACCTCTGATTATCTCGTCTGCCGGCCACCCCACAGCTGCCTCGCGTTCTCTGTCATCGTGGTTTCAGTTCATTGTGTTAACGTTACACCTGCTCAGCCCCCAGGAGGCAGAACAAGGACAGGGCAGGAAGGACTTGAGATGTGGCTAAGGAGCAGACACCGCAGAGGCGCCGTACCCACCTCGGCCTTCAGGAGGTGGGCGCTTCTAACAAAAGAAGGGCAGTCACGTCACAGTCACTGAGGGTTTACTCTGAGAGGCTTCTGGTCTGAGTGCTCTTTGTTGTTAAATAACTCGCTCAATCCTCAACAAGCTTGTGAAGATTCAGGAAATAGTGTCCCCACTTTGCAGGCCCTCAGAGAGGCTAAGCAACCCCCCCAAGGCCACACAGCTAGTGTCAGAGTGAGGGAATAAGAACGTGGCACCCAGGCTGGGTGGCCGGCAGGTGGCAGGGCTGACTCCGCACGCGGATCCCCCAACCCAAATGCCCAGTTCTTTCAGCCTCGGCAGCCTACGTTTGGGCCCAACAATGCCAAGATTCGTGGGGAAGAGCCCAAAGAAAAAGTGTGATTTCCTTTCTGGAGTCGTCAGGGACGGGCAGTGTAGCCCCGGGCCAGGCGGCCGGGGTGTCCTCACCTGTCGGTGAGTGGGGTGATGACCAAGCGCGGCGTGTTGCCCAGGTACTCATAGGAATACTGGATTTGGGCGTCACAGATGTTGGCAAAGCAGTGTCTCTTCTCCTCGTCCCAGCGGTGCCGCAGCTGGGACTGCCAGGTGAAGGCCTGGGAGCTCTCTACCTGCACGAGGTGCGGGAGCCTAAGAGCAAGACCCACCCCAGGACAGCCAGGGGCCCCAGGCTAGTCCCTGGGCCCCAGGGATGCTCCTGGCCCTCTGATCCTCTTCCAGTGCCCGCATCAAACCTAGCACATCCCCGCTGAATCTCACTGATGATCGGCACTTCCAATCGGATTGCTCTTCGGAGCACTCACCAGGGGTGAGTCTAAGGGAGGGACGGGGGATGGCCCCTGCCAGGAATAGAGTGCCCTCCCCAGGAAGAGGCGATAACAGAGGGGGCAGGGGCTGGAGTCCCCGAGCAGTGGGCCCTTCCCCGGCCCCTGCCTTGGCCAGGATCATTTTGGCCACCACGTCCCGGGCGTGCACGTCGATGGTGCAGATGGTCATGATCTTCATCCTGTCGCCTGCACTGAGGTTTCCGATGAGCAGGGTGATGAGCGCATTCAGCTGATTGATCTGCAGGAGCAAAGGCACCTTCGCTGGACACCAAGTCGTGCTGGTCGATTGCCACTGGGTGGTCTCCAGGCTCTAGGGGTCCCCCAGGAGCTCATGGTTGGAGGGAAGACCACCAGGCTCTTGTTTGCAGTAATGGAACACAGAAGAATGTTCTGGGATATCTCCCACCTAGGGGTGGGGTAAGCTGTGGAGCAGCCCCCTGATGGAATATCATGAAGCTGCTAAAAATGATGCAGTAGAAGAAAATCTAATGCCACGGGAGGATGATGGATATTCAGTAAAAACGGGATTTTAAAGCCATTTGTATATTTTTACATATAAGTCAATTACATGCATACAAAAAGATCAGAGGTCTAGATAAGAATCTGTTGACAGTGGTTATATCTGGGTAGCTTTTCCTCCTTCTATTTAAAAAATTATCTTTAGTTTCTAAATCCCAATCAAGAATCTTTCAAAAACAGACTCGCGGTAGCATTTGATGACTTTCAGACAAGAAATTAGAGTTACATATTTCTAAAGCGGTTACTCTTGGGCAGGACCACCAGGGGTTGCCAGCATTTGACTGCTTTTGACCCACAGAAACAGCAATTCCACGAGGCGCGACCTTAGACATGAGATGTTTCTGGTAATCTCTTGGCCCAGTTTCAGGTGGACACGTGGGAACCACGCACCTGCTTTTTGTTGTAATCTTTGATGGCGTTTTCGTAGCCTTCCTCCAGCCTCGCAAATGCCAGGCCCACCTCGGTGGTCCACCAGATCTGAGTGCACGTGAGCGCGACCTGAAAAGATGGCACCCCCCATTGGCCCGTGCAGTGAGCGCCGTTCTGCTTCCAATGAAACAGTTCCTACTAGTAAGTTAAACTGCTTTCCGCGGGACTGTGGTTAACAGAGGGAACACGGGAGTCCAGCAAACCCGCCCCGTCTGAGCTGTCTGTCCGTCCATCCACGCCTCAGACCTGGGCTGGGTAGTCAAAGATCCACTGCTCCCTCGGCTTTTCCTCGTATGTCACCACGGCTTCTGGGATTTCGTGTCGGAGCGTGGCACACATTCGGTCCAGCACGCGGTTCAGCCAGACTTCCACCTGGGGATGGGACCACAATGACCAGACGGGCCATGAGTGCACCGATTCCAGTGACTTGCTTTGTTGTAAGAAAAAAAAAAAATTACCATTCGTCATCCTCCTCCTCCCAGGGGTAGAAACGTCAAGGTTTTCACAGAGCAGTAAGAATGACCCACTTAAAAGACGTGGTTGGGAAGCCCAGTGGTACCCAGGCAAAATCTGCTGCATTGGGCCTTTGTGTGCATACATTATTTCTAGGCAGAGAGTGGAAAGGATCCAGAGAAAAATCTGGAAGAGGAGACAGGCTCTGTCTGAGCCCCTGAGGAGTTGCTGATGTTCGGGACACAGAGTCTGTCCCCCCACGTCCCTGGGAGGTTCTGACTAATGGAGCCCCGACCTGCTCCTCAAGTGCATTGTCTCGGAGTCCAAGATCGTTGTGGGGGCAAACTTGCCAACAAGCCTGGTTTGTATTTTAGAATATAAACCCTCAACTAACTGTACTGGGGGAAAAATTCAAACAGGAGAATCGGGTTGATTTTTCTTTTCACCAGTAAATACAGCTCAGGCAGACCTTGCTGTAGGTCGCAGTTATGTTTGCAAGGAGTTCAGCGCAGGAAGCGAATCTGAACGCACTGTGATGCATGGTCTCGTCCCAGCCCCACCAGCCCCATCCATGCAGAGCAAACCCGCCAGCACTTGAACGCCAAGTCATTGAAGTTCAATTTTTCTTGCAGGAGATTTTCTCTTTTTTCCCAGCTAATTTACCTCAAATTACATTTTGCTTAGGCTAACATCAAAATCGATTTGGTTTCTTGATCAACAGTTGGGCAATGAGATGAGGGGAGGGGCAGCCCGGAAGTGTGCTGTCGGCAGAAGGAGCCAGCCTCCTCGGGTGGGTGACATGCTTGCTGGGGAAGCTGGAAGAGGGGACAGGCCACCCGAGGGGAGGAGACCTCTCGGATCTACCAAAGCAACAAAGCCAATGATTCTGAACAGGTGTTCGAACTCGGGCGTTCAGGCGTGTGTGGCCCCCTTCAAAGCAGTCCCCTTGGTGAGCCAGAGACAAATTCAGTGGCATTAATAATCCCGCCCCTCCCCCTCATGCCCTCCCCTCCCCTCCCAATACACTTCATACTCTATGGGTAAGGCTGTGCTGGAAATTCTATAAAGAAGTCCTTCAAGCATTTGTTCTAAGAGAGGTGGAGGAAAGAGGAGAGAGGGAAAGTCACGGGATGGTGGCTATGCGAACACCCCTGTCTGAGGACTTGTGGCTCTTACACTGGCTGCACTGTCATCCTGGGGGGTTCCCTGTCCGTGCCCTCTGTGGCTTGCACACACTCTCACCTGCCCTGAGAGGTCACATTCTCGATCAAAATCCACGTACTCGTCCTCTTTGCTGTACATGCCCAGGCCAACTTTGAGAGGCTTCCCGTCGGTGTCGAGCCGGAACTTCAGTTTACACAGGCTGTCGAAGAGTTTGGACAGGTGGCGGCTCACCTGGGTGGGGGCAAAACAGCAGATTGTGCAGCTGAGGGATTTGAAAGGGGGATCCACACGGTCTGGGTTTTCCTTGGGTGGTTTTAAGCATCTTTCATTTTTTTTGGAATGTAGTTCCCCTTCTCTGATCGACGTTAACCAAACGCGCTTAACCAACAAAGGGAACAGCAAAAACTGCTCTCAGGCAGGACACAGAAACCAGCCCAGGAATTCAGCACTTCTGAGACAAATGTCTGACATTGAAGATTTCTTTTCCTTGAGAAGTTCTGTCCCAGCACTGGGCCCGTTTCCCTAAGTCACATGCTCAAATCCTAAATTTCCAGCCACCCTGTGTATCCCATCTTGTGTGTCCAGTAACTTTATGATTCAAACGAAATATAGTCGTGTTCCCTTTACCTAGTTAGTTAATGCTCTCTGTTTCAGACAAGCCTCAAGGAACCTTTTCTTCCTGGCTCCTGGGGCCCGGGATTTATTAGAATGAGCCTGAGGGCTACCTAGTGAGTGGGCATATCTCTCAAAAACAGTATCTTGCTAAGCCCCTGGCATCTAACTCACTTTCCAGATGAGGAAAATGAGGTGTGGGAGGTAAAGGGCAGAAGCTAAGACGAGTCCCATGGTCTTTCCCCGGGGTGGCTTCTGGCACGGACAACCTCATGGAGATGGGGACCAGGGGACACTCCTCCAACATCCTAGGGCTGCCCAGACATGGGGGCAAATATGGTGCCCACCTAGAGTCTGGAGATCGAGCCCGAAGGCAGCCTAAGTGCGGAATGCCAGGGGCCCGCCTACCTCCACGGGGTTATTTCCGTTGGAGAGAATGTCCAGGAGGTCAGCCGCGGACACAAAGTAGAATCTTGGGAAAGCCAGTCTTTTTGTCTCTAGATATTCCGCCAAGGCCTTTTCGCACACGGCCAACCTGGTAGGAGGGAGGAACCAGCTCGTCACCTCCTTCAGGAAGTGGGACAGGTACTTGGACATCATCAGGTTCTGCAGCTGCACCTGGTTGTCCTCCAGCGTCTCCACCAGCACCTCATCTGACTTGAGCATCATGGTGCCTGTCCGCGGGTGCAGCTCATGCTCAAACTCCATGGTGGACCAGGTACCAGGTTGTTCCTGTGGGGCCTACTCGGCAGAGGGTGTTTTCCAGCCCATCCTTCCCCTCGCTGGACTGACAGCCCTGGAGATGCCTGGTCTGTTGTCCATAGCCCAGTTTACTCAGACCTGCAACCTGACCCACGGGTTCTTTGCCAGCTCCTGACTTTGTGGGCACCCCTGGGTAGAAGGGAGGATTGTTTAGTCTCCACAGTCGTTGCTTCCTCCGACGTGGTGGTGGTGTGGTAGGATGTGGCTGGGAACATGAGCTCCCGGGGTGGGGATGTGTTAACCCAGGACCTGGGGGTTGCCCCATCTGGGCCAGCGGGGGTGCTTGACTGGGGTTCCTGCCACCATGACGCCCCTCATCTGGACAGGCATGGGGACCTACCTCCTTTTTTTTTTTTTTTTGTGAGGAAGATTGCCCTGAGCTAACATTCATTGCCAATCTTCCTCTTTTTGCTTGAGGAAGATTGTCCCTGAGCTATCATCTGTGCCAGTCTTCCTCCATTTTGTATGTGGGACACTGCCACAGCATGGCTTGATGAGTGGTGTGTAGGTCTGTACCTGGGATCCAAACCCGTGAACCCCAGGCTGCCGAAGCAGAGCACACGAACTTAACCACTATGCCACTGGGCTGGCCCCAGGACCTACCTCTTCTTCAGGTTCTCAAGTTTGTCGTAGAGACCTGGTTTGTTGGTGGCTTCCACCACGTTGGGCGTTTTCACTGCCTCTTCCATCAAGGCCTGGGAAGAGACGGGAGCCGCCAAGATGTCAGGAGCCCCGTTTTCTCCAAGGTAGCTATTTCTGAAAATGCCCAGGCAGGAGCCACAGGGCTGTGCTCACCTTGAATTCCAGGTCGATATCTTCGAAGCGCTTGGAGTCCTCCGGCAGCTGGGCACGGATGTCTTCAGAACCAATGAAGATGCTCTCTAGGTGGCTCCAGGTTCTTTGGACCTCAAACCAGATGGAGATGACCGAGTCCGCTGTGGACAGCTTCTGCTGCCAGCTCGTCACCTCCTTCAGGAAGTGGGACAGGTACTTGGACATCATCAGGTTCTGCAGCTGCACCTGGTTGTCCTCCAGCGTCTCCACCAGCACCTCATCCGACTTGAGCATCATGGTGCCTGTCCGCGGGTGCAGCTCATGCTCAAACTCCATGGTGGACCAGGTACCATCCAGGGCTTTCAGCACCTTCCAGGGAACAGAAATCAAGTCAGTGAGCATCTGGCATGAGAGGCTGAGAAGGACCCAGAGTTTCCTAGAACACGGAATGAGTCCCACTTTAAGAAAGCCAAAATGTTCATACCAACAGTATTCACAATAACCAAAAGATGGAAACAACCCAAATGTCCATCAACAGATGAATGGATAAAAAAATGTGGTGTATTCATATAATGGAATGTTATTTGGCCACAAAAAGGAATGAAGTACTGATACACGCTACAACATGAATGCACCTCGAAAATATTATGCTGAGGGAAAGAAGCTAGACCCAAAAGCCACATATGTATGGCCTTGATGTGAAACGTCCAGAACAGGCAAACCTATAGAGACAGAAAGTGGGCTAGTGGTTTCTTAGAGCTGGGGCGGGGGGTATGAGAAGATGGAGGGTGATAGCTAAGGGTATGGGTTTCTTTTTGAGGTGATGAAAATGTTCCAAGATTGACTAACTCTAATATGAGATGGTTGCTCATATCTGTGAATATATTAGAAGCCATTGAATTGTGTAGTTTAAATGGTGAATGGTATGGTATGTGAATTATAGCTCAATAAAGCTAAGAGAAAAATAAAAGCCAAAATGTGACAATTCAAATTCATAAAACAGGCCAGGAGAGAGATTTGAACTGCGAGAGGAGTTCCCCTGAGCCCTGGCACTGCCGCAGCCAGTGGCTCATCAACAAGCCCAGGTCCTGGCTGAGGGTCTGTCCTCCCGCCTGCCCTCCTCCAGCTTCTCAGGAGTCAGAGGACGAGGCAGACAGGACCACAAACGAGGGTGCTCGTGAAAGGAGAAGAGAGTTCAGGTTGTTCCTAAATGTACATACCACTGCATGCAGAGACAGAGCTATAGACAGGAATTGGATTTTTTTTTTTGGTAATAAATTTTGGAAATATCTTACAAGATTTCTGTCACAGGGTGGGTAAGAGAAGGCCCACAAACCTATCCTTTCATGTTACATGACCGCTGAACCCCACGTGAAATGAGAGACTCACAAGGCTGCTGGTGTGGCAGTCTCCACATCATCCCACACAAAAGATGTTTCACTGTCAACAAAGGATACCTTTTCCATCCCGGACTCCTTCACAGCCTTGTCTACAATATTTCGGACCTCATCCTCATATTTGTGTAGGTTCAGCTGGAGTAAATCCGCCAGGGTGGTCTCATCTGACATTTCAAATTTCACCTGGGGGGGAAATAGGCATGTTCCATGTGAGGCGGTCTGTCCTCCTGTCGAGGGACGTCTTTGTCCTCCACGGAGAGGCAGGTAGTGAGTCATCCAGGCTGCAGAAGGAGGAGTTGGAAGCTCTGCGTAGCCATTTACTGGCTCCGTGACCTGGGTTAGTTACTTCTCCAAGCCTTGCCTTCCCTCCCTATAAAATCGTGTAATAGCAGAACCCACCTGTAGTGGGTTGAACAGTGGTCCCCCAAAATCCATGTCCACCCGGACCTCAGAATGTGACCTTATTTGGAAATAGGGTCTTTGTAAATGTTAAGGATCTTGAGATGAGATCATTCTGGATTAATTTCGTGGGACCTAAATCCAATGACAGGTGTTCTTAGAAGGGAAAGGAGGGGGAGATTTGAAATGCAGAAGAAAGCCATGTGACCACGGAGGCAGAGATTGGAGTGATGTGGCCACAAGCCAAGGAATGTCTGGGGCCATCAGAAGCTGGAAGGCGCAGGAAGGACCCTCCCCTAGAGCCTTCAGAGGAGGCAACACTGCTGACACTTTGATTTCAGACTTCCAGCCTCCAGAGCCATGAAAGAACACATTTCTGTGGTTTTAAGCCCCCAGTGTGTGGTACTTTGTTACGGAAGCCCTGGGACACTGATGCGCCACCTCAGGGAGCTGCTGTGTAATAACAGGCGTGGCTGAGTGCCGGGTACCGTTGCTCTAGTAATAATAGCAGGTATTTGCATAGTGCCACCCAGTCCTCACATCCCTTCCACATCCCTTATCTGACATTCTTCTCGCAGTCACAGACAGACATTTCTGAGCACCGGTTCCGAGCCCGCTGTGGAAACTGGTTTAACCAACTGATGGAATCGAGTGTCTCTTGATGACGTTTGGGAAAATCTCTGCCCGGGTGTCACTAAGTCCTCGGCTGTGCTGAATTCCTGGGGCATTTTAGTGCTTGTTGATCACCACCCAGGGGCCTCTCCCAGGGCACCTGGAGGGGGCACATGGGCCTGCTGGCCAGTGGTCTGGACAAGCTGCGGTCTCGGTCCTCAAGACAACCCTTCTGCTCGTCTCTCTGTTTCTCTCCCCAGGCCCAGGCCGCCTTCCACACACTCCTGAAGCCTTTCCTGTTCTTCCCTCCCCTTGGAGGTGGCTGCCTCCTCTACACTCCCAGAATCATCCCTGAATATCCCACTCGGCATTCGGAACACGACCACAGATACTACTACTTCTTTCTCTGCTTCCCTGAGAGCAAAGCCCATGGGTTCTCTCGGATCCTTGGCACCCATGGGGGGCCTCTGCAGAGCAGCTGTTCAATACAGTTTCATCCAACGTTTGCTGATGGTGGGGAGTGTTCCTATTCGCCTTCTGAGGGTGTTGAGGCCAGGACCCCCTACTACGGAACACCCCTGGGAAATTTAGGCACTAGGACTCTGTGCTCCTGGGGATCATGGGGGACCCAGGGGAGCTGTTCATATACCCCAAACTTCCTGAGCCCTGTGGACATTCAACCTACAACCAGAACTGGCTACATAATTTGCAGGGCCCAGTGCAAAATGAAAATGATGGGGCCCTTCGTTAAAAATTATTAAGAATTTCAAGATGGTGACAGCAGAGCCTTCAACCCCATGCAGGGTCCCTCTGAGTGCAGGGCCCTGTGTGAGTGCCCAGGTCACGTGTGCATGAAGCTGGCCTCGCCCACACTGGCTTTCTCAGCACCAGGCCCTGGTCATTCGGCTGAGCAGCTCAGGCCAGCCCATCATGAAGTGAGGCCGGCTGCTGTCAGGGGCAGTGCCCTCCAGCCCCCAGGGCGAGCGGTACCTGCGTGGCCTGCATGAGCTGTTGCCAGTGGCGGTCCCGGATGGCGGGGTTCTGCAGCTCACTCACGGCACGCAGGGACGTGATCATGTTCTTCACCATGTTGTCCAGCCCCACGAAGGCATCCCAGGTCTTCATCTCCTTGTCCAAAGACCTCACATCTTTGGCAAACTTCTTACAATCTAAGTCCATCTGCTCAACATTGATATCTTTCCACTTGGTGGTCTTCCAGTCATCGATGCTGGTGTTCACCTGAGATGGAAACACTCACTGTCTACTCTGGTCCAGGAAGATTCAGGAAGACGGTCATGTCACCTACTGCCCTCGCCCTGGGGAACAAACCCCAGTGAGGAATATTTAGAACTAATAACAGAGTTTCGTAAAGTAGGTGGATACAACGGGAAAATGACCCAGTTGTAAAGCTACAACTTAAAAGATAAAAATGTTTTAAAAACTTTTAAGGATACAAATTAAAAGTTAGCAGTTAAAATATACTTTGGGGAAATCCTGTGGTGGGCCTTGTTACTGCTCACCAGGATCCAGTTCCTCCTGCCTCTTGTGTGGCCCGGAACTTGCCTTGACCAAGGAAACGAGAGTCACACCTGACACTTTGAGGCAGGAGCATTTAATTGCCAACGCTCAGCTCAAAGTTCTCTGCCCCGGCCCTGGCGATCATGGAAGCACATATTGATATGCAGCCTGGAACGCTGAGCTGAACTAGGGTTCCTAGAACCAGAGTGTGGACTTCGCATGGATGAGAAATACACTTTTTGTTGTTAACTACACAGAGATTCTTTTAGGGCTGTTTGTTACTGCAGAGTAACCTAGCTTAGACCGACTGATAAAAATATAATAGAAGAAATTTCATTCACGACAGTATGAAACAAGACACAGAAACTACCTGGGAATAACCCTACCAAGACAGAGACAGAGCACCATGAAGCCTGCAGTCTTTAATTCGGTGTGGGTTGAAAATGGCTGTGAAGCTGGAAATGCTAGTCCTCAAGGGAATCAGGCTGTTGACACAGCGCGTGAGGCGGGAAGGCCTGGGCTTGACGAGCACCACGTTAGATAAAGACACAAACTGGGGGTGTTTACCGGAGATTTACCTTGAAGATACAAAGACTCAAAACTCTAATCCCCATAGAAATCAATGGCCTTTTCTGGAAGGTTGAAGCTTCTTCTATATCCTGCTATCATAAAAGTGTCCTGGCTAGTTTGTTTTGGAGACTTTTTTGGGGAAATATCCTGACTGTAAATGCTTACCCTTATCTCCTGGGAAATATAACCTATATTCTCTCATCTGTGCTAACTGTCCCTCACAGGAAAGTGTGGTATCTTGTTTTCTCTGACTTTACTGACTGTATTCTGTAATGTCACTCATATAAAAGAGACTTGAATTCAGCTAATTGTGAAAAAGTAAGTAGCAAGAGGCTTCAATTTGTACTCTCTCTTTAGGGGTGGTTGTTACATAGCCTGTGACTCCAAAGATTTTTTCCCGCTTTATAAGAAATATGTAGACTCGGTATGGCCAGAATGAAGACGTTTACAATATTTTACTATGATATATTAAAAAATAAAACAAATGAAGAGACAGAGCATGCTCCTGTATTGGGAACACAATACTGCCAAGAGAGCAGGTCTCTCCAGATTAGCTCACGAGAAGATTCAATTCCATGTAAAGTCATAATAGTTTTCTTTTGGAGGGGAGGAGGATTTGACAGAGATTCTGAAGTTCATTCAAGGGAATAAGAGAGAAGAGTTAAAATACCTTTGGAAACAGGTGAGCCAAGAGGAGAGGGACTAGCAGGAGCTAACACATGCACGTGCGGCATCTACAAAGCCTTGATATCGGCTAGAGTGACTCAAGGAGAGTGGTGCCTCCATCCACTGAGGTTGCTGCATCTTAACAGCCAAAGGATAACCGGAGCATCCCCTCTTGGTGCCGGGATGCAGGGTGTGCAGAGCCGCCCACCCTGGGTACCATCAGCATCGGCCTGCCCCCCCCACCCTGTGCCCAGTGGCTTGCTGTCCCCCTCACCATTACGATCATGTCCCAGAGCTCCTTCAGCAGGCGGACCTCTTTGTGACAAGCTTTGAGCTGCTTATAATCTGGGACTGTGACTTCGAACAGGCTCCCAGACTTGCACAGCGCCTCCATGATGCTCTCCATGGCCGCGATGCTCTTTTGTTGCTTGGGGCGGGGCAAGGAAGGTGGTAAGCAGGGTGCCCACGCTCAGCAGTGCCCTCCCTCTTTCCCTCTGCTGTATCCTCATAAACCTTCTCAGAGCCATCACTGTGCTGTATTCCCCTCTGTACAAAAACTATGCAGTCAGGAGAGCAGCACCCTCCCCTTCCCACCTTCAAATGCCCCCTTGCTTCTGATTTTATGGGAAAGTGGTTTATCTTTGCGAGCTTAGGCCCAAGGACTGACTTTTAATGGATGTTGTGGGACTGCCCAATTCCTCCTGAGAGTTTCTATTTCCCAGAATTTCCCCAATTTTCACGTTATATACACATTCTTTTCCCCCCAAAGCCCCAGTAGATAGTTGTGTGTCATAGCTGCACATCCTTCTAGTTGCTGTATGTGGGATGCGGCCTCAGCATAGCCAGAGAAGCGGTGTGTCGCTGTGCGCCCGGGATCCAAACCCGGGCCGCCAGCAGCAGAGCGCAAGCACTTAACCGCTAAGCCACGGGGCCGGCCCTATATACACATTTTTATCTTATTAAAAATTATATAAGTAATTCTTGATTGCTTTGAAAATTAGAAAAATCTAGATGAGCAATGAGGAGGAAAAAGGAGTCATCCCAAACCACAGCCTAAGAGTGGACGGCTGTCAACACTTTGGTGTTGAGCATTTTCGTATGTTTGCACGGACACAGAGGTGGGCGCCCAAGTGTACGCACTCCACCTCGGAATGGCCTGTCTCACGCGCGGATACCGTTACTTACTGGAGCCCACATGGGATCTCTTCAAGAATCTGCCTGGGGCCCTGTTGATAAGGGCTCTGGGGGCTCTAGGGAGCGAACGGGAGCATACATATTGTGGCTTGGGGAATGTGGCGTGAGAAAATGGCTATGAAGAAAGGGTGGGATCTTGACCTTCGGGAATCGTGGGCTTCGAAGCTGAGTGAGCGAAAGAGCAGAGCTTGGGGGAGAGAAAGCGTGGGGTGACCCCGAAGGACATCTTGGGGGTCCCTTGTGCTCAAGCCTGTGGTGCTGCAGAGTGAGTAGAGGTGTGGGCTGGGCCCAATCACAGTGGGTGCTGAGCACTGTGCTGGGAGCAGAGAGGCACTGGCAACGCCCTACTTTGCTGCCACGGGGCTCCCCGGCAGGCCCTGTGCACCCCACACCTTCCTGCCCCATGAGTCTTTGGGGCCTGAGCTTGAGTGGGTTGGCAAGTCCAGGGCCATGGAACTTGCACGTTGGACACTGACCGTAGACTCGAACAGTGGGAACAGAGAGGGGACACAGATGAGGCTTGGCCACTGGCTGCGCGTGGTGGGCCAGGGAGAGGAAGGAGCCAGGGATGACAGGTGAGTGCTAAGCCCAGTGGCAGGAAACTGCTGAATGTGAGCGGGGCTGAGGACCTCAGAGGTGGAGCGGCAGGCAGGGTTTGCGAGGCCTGCAGGAAACTCAGATGGGTGTGAGCTATGGGCCTGGAGTGGCGCCCTAAGCAGCCCCCACAGAGGGAAGACCACACGGGATTCCCGAGTTTGCCTATATGGCACACACACATGTATACATGCACACACACACACACGCATGGCCCTGAGGACAGCCCCATCGAGGCTGTGTTTCTAGACTTGCAAGAGTGACAGCTTGAGAAAACACAAGAAAGCAATGTGGTTCCCAAAGTTACTACCCCATCTCACCCTTGAGCAAAAATACCTTATTCAGGGACTTGTAGGGGTCGGGGTCACTGAAGGTGAACGGGGCTTCTCGTCTGAACTTCTCTCTGAACTCGTGCTGCTTGAGCTGCAAGAGAACCACGCGGAGACGCGTCGCACTCCCCATTTCCAGCCCGGAACGCGTCGTGGCTCCTGCAGCCCCCACGCTGCACCTTAGGCCCCGCCCCGCCTGAGGGGCTGCAGTACCTCGAATTGCTGGCACTTTCGCCTCAGGATGTTGACCTCATTGGCCTGGAGGGGCGCCACGTTCTGTTTCACCTGAATGGCCAGTTTCTTGGTGTTTGTCCACTGCTCCGGCAGTTCCTATGGCAGGCAGAGGCCAAGGACCATTCCTTTTTCTGTTCTTTTTAAAACTTTCCATTGTGAAATAATTATAGACACATAGAGAGTTGTAAAAATAGTACAGAGAGTCCTGTGTGCCTTCCCCTCACCTCCCCCAGCGGTGGCGTCTTAGACAGCTTGGTTCAATAGCCAAACCAGGAAGCCGGCATCGGTGTATTTCTGTTAACTAGATGACAGAACCTGTCAGTTTTCACCGGAATCCGTTTGTGCACGTGTGCATGTGCGCGTGCGTTGGGTGCACACGTGTGTATGTATGCATGTGTGTGTGCATGCATGAGTGCACATGTGTGTGCGCGTGTGTTGTGTGCACGTGCATGTATGCACGTGTGTGTGCATGCATGAGTGCACGTGTATGTCCTAGGCAATTCTATCCCACGTAGAGATTCCTGTAACCACTACCACAATCCACACACAGCACTGTTCGTCACCATAAAGAATTCCCTGTGCTATCTCTCTGTATTTGCACCCACCCCACCCCACTCTAGGCAACCACTCACCTGTTCTCCATTTCTATAATTTTACCATTTCAAGAATGGCTTTAACAATTAGATGAATTTTTGTATTTTCCAAGTTCTCCACACTTGGGAAAATATGTACGTATAATCATAAAATATTTTAAAGAAAAAAAATTGCAGCCCACGAATTCTTTGCCCACAAATGGAAGACACCTTGTTTCACCTTCTTCTATGATTGACTAGTGGTCTCTCTTGGCTGTGGCATGCCTCAAATGCCATTTTTATCACACCAGCTGCCCCATCCATGGCCTGGAGCCCCTGGGAACTGGCCACACACTTCAAATCCCAGTCCTCAGCCGGGCCTGGGCAGGGCAGCATGGGCAGGCACAAGCCCCCTTGTTTTCAGTCAAAATACGACATGATCTGAAGTGGGGCTGGGGCAGCACAGGGTCACTGCGGTCACTGGCTCTGTGTGGCCATGAGCCTTCTAGCTCCTTCCCACTTTGCCCCATAGTCTTGTCACCCCTTTAGCTGTGGGGTCTTGGGCACTGGCTGGAGTCAGTGCCTACCGGTGCGGGGAGTGGGCCTGTGTGACTGGACACAGAGCAGGGGCAGAGAAGGGGAGAGAGGGAGGAGACGTAGCCAGATCTGGAAGGAGGCTGGAACTCCAGGGGGTGGCTGGGCAGCGGGTTTGGGTCCGTCTTCTCCGTCCTTCCCAGCCCAGCCCACCCGCCCACACAGCTGCTGTGGTGCTGACAGCTAACATTGCCTAAACCAGCTGTAAAGTGCTGGGCAAACGCAGCTTCAAGCCCTCCTCCCTCAATCCCCTTGCTGTAGCTGCCCCGTGGCTCCCACGTGGAGACTGGAGCTGGCTGGAGGCCTTCTGGAGTGAGGGCCGGCTGCCATGCCCCTACTCTCCGCAGGGTCTCCGCTGACCCCATTCTCTCTCCACCATCCCTCATACCCAAGGAGGGACCCGGTCCTCAGGAGGAGGTGTGGGACGTGAAGGCATTTTTAATCCAACAAAACACCGAACAAAACAAGGAGCTAATGGTCCCACTCTGGAGGCCCCCTCACTCTCCCCTCTTCTCCAGGGGGCCTTCTCCTCCCACCTCACCACTCCACAGGGATTCTCATACCTGGAAGAGGAAGTCTAGCCCACAGGCCCCACATGTGAGGCCTTGTCCTCCAGCCGCACCCCCACGGCCCCCGGCGCTGGCCTGCCAGGTTCTCCCCTCCTCCCTGGACACAGCGAGGCGCCCTTCCCATCTACCTGCAGCTTCACGTGAGTTTCCTCAGGTATCTCCTCCCCGTAGGTCTTGAGCAGCTCAATGGTTTGTTTCAGGGGCTCAAACATGGTGTCAGTCGCCACCTGCCTCTCCTTGACCTTCATCAGATGCCCCATCATCTCTACGAGACCGTCATAGTCCCCCTCCTTGAGGGGCTTCGTCAGGCCCATCCTCGCGACTTTCATGAAGGCTTCCAGGTCAGCAAGGCTAACGAACCAGAGAATGGCCTGTGAGGGGTGCGCCCTCAGTGGGGAGGGGTGAGGCCCGTCTGAGAAGAGGGACCGGAGCGAGGGCTCCCTGGTTATCTCACAAGGCCCCACTGAGGGAGGGAGAGCTCCTGTCCATCTCAGGACACCTGCTGCTGGCTGTGTCCCTGCCTGCACGCCACCCCACGCCCCACCAGCTCCACTCAAACTGACCAGCAAGTCCCAGCGTAAGGCCAGATCTCAGAGAGGCTTTGCCGGCCTCCCGGAGGGCACTCGGCTCGATTACTCTCTCTCTTCCCCCGTGCACGCACAGCTGACCACCGCCTGTAGCTGCAGAGCGACTGGTCCACCCGTTACGTGTCAGGCTTCCCTGCCAGATCCAGGCTCCTAAAGGTTTCCTCGGCATCTGGAGCCCAGACACAGCAAGTGCTCCATAAATAGGGGCTGAACAAAGGGACAGAGCCTTTGCTCACAGCCAGGTGACCCTTTTCTGCTGGGACCCGCCCTGGGGGGGCCGCTGGTCTCCAAGCCTGGCCTTCACCCCATGCCTGCCCTGGAGGAGGCGCCTCACCGACACCATGCACTTTCGTGTAAGGCCGTCTGTGGAGGCCCCTGGCCTGTTTCTCGGGCTCTCCGAGGCGGTGGTCAAGGCCAGGATGGCGGCAGGGTGGGCGGCGGGGTCCCAGTGCCCACCTGTGGATGACGTGGTCGCTCAGGTGTCGCTTGAACATGAAGCTCCATCGCTTGATGGTGTTGAGCAGGGCCTGCTTGAAGGGGCGGCAGTCGCACTGCAGCCAGCCACTGAACACCTTGGTGTTCTCGCTCCTGGACACTTCCTCATACAGCTTTTCGTACGAGTCGATCTGGAAAACACCGCATCTGCTCAAGGGCTGGCCTGCCGTAGGGGCGAGACCGGCACAGCCCAGGTGCCCAGCACAGCACGTGGGCAGTAGGAGGCCCTTACTGCAGGCTAGTCTCCTTCTCCAGCACCCCCGGAGTCCCTGTAGCCAGCAGTCTATCCCCAGCCCAGGATAATCTGTCAAACAGGGACAGCATGGGGCAACGCCAGCAGGGCTTCTGAAGAACAGGACAAAAGCCACAAGAGGTGAATGTGGCCATGGCGCCTGCAGGGCATCCCTTAACTCCGCCCTCTCCATGCTGTTTCACCGTCTTGGGGCTCCCAGGCTCCACCAGCCATCCCCACCCTCAGGTGCCAAAATGTGCCCACCTGTGCATCTCCCCTGGGGTGGGTCACTTCCACTCACCAGGCATCTCTCTCCCTCACTGCACATCACGAAGAGGTGGAGGTTTATAAATTAACTACGTTTTCTTATGTTCAGCAAGACATCTGGGCCTCGCTGACCCTGGGGGGACTGTCCCTCCCAGGGCTAGCTAATTTCTAGAGAGAGCAGACAACTCCCCAGGGAGCACACCTTCCCTGTGCAAACAACCAACCCAGAGCCCACACCCCAACCACCCCCTTTATCAGGCTCTCACAGCATCCTACACTCTGGGCCAATATTCCCCTATCCTAGTCACCCCAGGGCCAGGTGCCAGACAACTGGAGACAATCCCAACACCCTGCAGTCCTCTGAAATGATTCAAACTCGCCAATCCTCAGCCTGATTGCCCTGCCTCACCTGTTTCTTCCCAAGAAAACCACAACACAGGCTCCTGCCCATGCTTTCCCTCACTCCCTCTGCCTCCTGACCAACCCCGGTGCTTCCCCGTGTGGCCCTGTGTGGCGTGGCATGACCTTTCCTCTTGGGAACTATGAGTCACAGACTCTTTTCAGTGGCTGTCGTCTCCTGATCTGTTGGTCTCACCAGACCTGATTTATAATTAAATCTACATTTTAAAACCATTCACCTGTTTTATCTTTTTTTTTAACGTTTTGTTTTATTTATTTATTTATATTTTTTGGTGAGGAAGATGGTCCTTGAGCTAACATCTGTGTCCATCTTCCTCTATTTTTGTATGTGGGACGCCGCCACAGCACGGCTTGATGAGCGGTGTGTAGGTCTGCAACTGGGATCCGAACTGGTGAGCCCTGGGCCACTGAAGCGGAGCGCATGAACTTAACCACTACGCCACTGGGCCGGCCCCGTTCACCTGTTTTAAATCAAGCACAGTGACCCTCTGCAGGGGGATTTGGAGGTGAGGAAGCCAGTGGGCGAGGCTCACACACACCTGTTGCTGGAACTGTGTGAGGGTGGGTGGCGTCTTGGGGAGGGAGGCTTCACCCCGGTCGTCCAAGTCCTCCGGGGTGACCGCACGCCCGTAGATCAGGAAGTTCTTCATGAACTCCCGGGGGTCATCCATCCAGAGATAGGAGTACCTCTCAAAAGAGTCCTGGTACTCCTCGGCCTCCTTCATGGCGCTGATGACCAGGTTGGACATCTCCTCCCTCATCTCGATGAGGTCCGCCGTGTCTTCCAGGTCCATCTGGAAGGGGCAGGAGGGAAACAAACAGGTGAGTGTTTAGCTGGTGTTCACGACTTAGATTTGATCTCCTCGTCCTGGAGAGTGGCTCACTGTTGGTGGACGTGTTCCTAACCTCTCAAGATGGGAACTAGGGACGTATGCTGATTTGCACTGTTCTCCCAACGGAAGATGTGCTGAATGGGACTTTTGTCCAGCAGACCCCAGGATGACTTATGCATCGATTCATTCATTCAACAGCTGCTGTGTGCCACTGGGGATGGACAGGGCTCAGGTGGAGGGTACAGTCCAGGTGGGGTCAGATGTTCATCAAAGAATCACAGAAATGAAACATCATGACTCCGGCCCTTGCTCTAAGGTGTTAGGGGGAGAAAGTCGAGGAATGCTCCCTGAGGAAGTGACCATTGCTCTGAGAGCTGATGGACAGGTAGGCAAAGAGCAAGAGAAGCAGCAAAGCATGAGCACAGGCCCTGTGCTGGGAGGAAGCAGGGTGTCTGAGGAACTGAAAGAAATTTACCGTGGATGGCTAAAGGAGGGAGCATGCGAGACCCCTCCGGACAGGACCTTTTGAGTCTCAAGTGACAAGAAAATCCAACCCAAATTGGTATAAGCAAAAAGACAATTAATGGCTCATGTAACTGGAGAATCTCAAGATGGGTTTTTTTTTGCATGTTTTTTATTTTATGTATTTTACGATGCTTTGACACCTTAAAAAATCTTGCTGGCAGGAAAGACTGCCCCCCCCAGGACTAGTCAGTTCTGGGCGGGAGCACACCTTTCATATGCAAACCAACCAATCCTAGTCTACACCCTCAAGCACCTGCTTTATCTAGGCCTCACACCAAACCAATATTCCTCCTACCCCAATCACCCCAGGGCCAGGTACCTGATAACTGGAGATGACCCCTAAAGCCCAAAGCCCCGCTGACATGATGCAAACTGGCCAGGCCCAAGCCACTTCCTCTGCCCTGTCGCCTTTCCCTCGGAAACCCCAAGAAAGACTCTGGCCTGGGCTTCTTCCTCACTCCTGCTTCTGCCTCCTGACCAAACCTGGCGCTTCCTCCTGTGGCCCTGCGTGGCCTGCTGTGCCTCTTGTTTCTAGGAGAACTGTGAGTAACATCAAGCTTTTCTTTCAATGGCATTGACCTCTCCATGTCTCTCAGTCACCTCCATAAATTAAAATCTCATGGTTACAAATGAGATGGGGGTGCCCACAGACTGGGGTATGGTTTGATCACCACGACCCTAATCCTGCTTTGCTCTGCCCTCCTCTGTGTGCAGCTTTATCAGCAGATGAACCCCCCCGGGGCCCCAGGATGGGCACAGGAGCTCCAGACATGCATCCCGTCAGATTCCGGAGCTCACGTCGGCATCTGGCTCTCATTGGCCTGAGTTGGGTCTCATGTCTGTACCTGAGCTGATCACCAGTGGCAAATGCTATTCTGAACTGTGGAACAGCTTGCTGCGTGCACTTGGGCCAGGCACGTCACCTTTTTGTGGCTCAGAAATCCTCGAGCCATTTGCCCTGCCTGACACCATCTGCCTGGAAATCCCCTCCCACACTTCAAGACTCAGTTCACACGTTAGCTCCTCTGGGAAGCTGCCCTTGACCTTGCGAGGTATTTCTTCTTGCGTCCTCACCTCACCGCGCACACACATGCACGCACACATACCTCCTTAATAGTACAGAGCCTCTTGCCATAAACATTTGTTATTACAAATAATACATGCCCTGGGCCGGCCCCGTGGCTTAGCAGTTAAGTGTGTGCGCTCCGCTGCTGGCGGCCCGGGTTCGGATCCCGGGCGCGCACCGACACACCACTTCTCCAGCCATGCTGAGGCCGTGTCCCACATACAGCAACTAGAAGGCTGTGCAACTATAACATACAACTATCTACTGGGGCTTTGGGGGGAAAAATTAAAAAAAAAACAAAAAACAAAAAACAAATAATACATGCCCATTATCAAAGACTCAAACAAACATAGACATGTTTGAAATACAAAGTCCCCTTTGCATCCCCTGTCCTCCTCCATCCTTACTCCTATCCTGTTTCCCAGAAGTAAGCACTCAACAGTTTGGAGTGTATCCACAGAAAGACAGATTTTTGTTTGTTTAAATAAACGAAATCATATTCTAAACATTGTTCTACAACTTGATAAACACTTAATAGCATGTCACAAGCATCTTTCCACCCCTGACTTATTTTTGTTACTCATCCAGATGCCTTTGCATGGATGGGCCAGAATCCATTGAATGACTACAAACAATCCTCTATACATACAATACAATCCTCTATACAAACAATCCTCTGACAAACACACCTCCTCAGACCTCCCTTCTGGGGGAGCTGAGTTTCCTAAGCCTTTTGCATCCCCAGAAGCAATCTGACTGCGCTTTACTTAGCAGGTAGGTGTTTAATGCACGTAGAGTGAATGGATGCGGAAGGCACATTTGTCCAATGCCTGAGTGCTGAGAGAGTCCCAGGGTTTAAACTACAGAAGGGAGTGGAATACCAGGAAATGGGTAAGGACACACCCCTGGTGCCTCACTGAGGGTAGAGGGGCGTTGGAGGAATGAAAGCCAGACTGACTGAGAAGCCACTTTGGGAAGACACGGGATTTCGGGAGTAGAGAGAGAAATCCAGTCTGTAATCCTGGGGAACCTGATAGACGAGAAACCTCTGGGCTCCTCCACATTCAGAACCATCATCTTTTTTTTTTTTTAATAATTTTATTTATTTATTTTTTTCACCCAAAGCCCCAGTAGATAGTTGTCTGTCATAGCTGCACATCCTTCTAGTTGCTGTATGTGGGACACGGCCTCAGCATGGCCGGAGAAGTGGTGTCGGTGCGCGCCCGGGATCCGAACCCCGGCCACCAGCAGCGGAGCGCACGCACTTAACCACTAAGCCACGGGGTCGGCCCCACCATCATCATTTAAAATGTAAATAAATAGGCATTGCTGAGTTACGAAGGCAATTCCGAACCAGGAAAGCAATTTGTGCCCACACAGGGAAAGCAGCTGGGGCCATAGGAAGCCCAGACTGACCTTGTAGTTCATTCTGCCCTTGGCCAGTCGGGGGATGAGCTTGGCAGCATTGTAGATGTCAGTGATCAGGCTCTCGATCAGCGCCAGGAAGCCATGGTTCCCACCCATCTCCAGGGATGGATTGAAGACCAGCCCGTCCTCATCCAGCTCCATGTGGACCTCAAACAGCGGCGCCACGCTCTCCTGAAACAGGTCATCACGGGGGTCAATGCCTCGCCCTTGGTTGAACCATTCTCAATGCCCAGATGTTCACTCTGGGCACCGTCTAACCTATAGGGCTAACTCCCACTGGCTGGGACCACTTCGGAGAGCATGCTTCCCAGCGGCCCCTTGAGCAAGTGCCATGAAACCAAAGGCACTGCCACTGGGCCAAAAGCAGGCTGGAGCAGTCCAGGGCAGGAGACAGCAGCGATTCTAAGTGCAGACGAGAGACCGACTACCTCAGTTCAAAGCCTGTATCTACTACTTATTAGCTGTGTGGCCTTGAGTAGGTCACTTGAACTCCCAGTTTCCCCAAATATATAAAATGAGGATAATCATTTTATAGAACAGAGACAATAATTGTCCCCACCTCTTTGGGTTATTGTGAGGACTAAATGACTCAATGACATATAAAGTGTGCAGAGTGGTGGCTGGCTCACTTCTAAGAGCTGGCAGCCACAGCCACGGTGCATGGTGGGGTCACAGTCGGCAGGACGGCCTTCGCGGTGCCCCGGAAAGGATGAGCCCTCCCATCCATCAGAGGTTCCCCTTTTCAAAGCACACACACACTGTAACCCTGTCTGTTCCTGGATCCCGCCTTGTGAGGCTGCAAGGCTGAAGGTGCTAGCTCCATCTATAAGGTGAGGGGATGGAGGATAGACTGACGTACCAGCGAATCTCAAAGTATGGGCCAAGGCCCACAGGTGGCCATGAGATCCGCTCCACGGCCACTGATCTTCCTATAAACAGAGTCCCACATTGGCCCTGGGGGTGGTTGACTCGAGAGCCCTCGGGTTGCTCTATGACCAAGGGAGGGTGTTGACTAGTGTCCGAGTCAGTTGGTAAGTAGTACAAAAGGTCAATCATCTTGAACTCAGATGACCAGACTTTTCTTAAGCCTCTAGCTCAGGGGTCTGCTCCTGTCACTAGGCCACTTGCAAATATGGGGACTCCCTGGGACTTTTTGAGAAGGGCATTTTGTTATAAGGGCATCATCACGGTTTTGTGACTTTCCTCACTGTGTTACAATAAATTACAGCTTGAAATTGTAAGTTAAGTATAAATTAGTTAATTTCATTCCTGACACTTTGCACGGCTGTGGGTTGCTTGGTGAAACTTAACAGTTGGTAGTGATGACTACTTTCATCAACAGAACACAGGGTCTGTGATTGTCTGGTGACAACCAGCCTTTGACACATGTGCTGGGCTCAAGCACGGATTATTCGCCCTCTGTAGCTGGTACAGGGTGTCTCAGCGTGGTCCCCACCATCCTTTCCTGTGGGTGGACTATATGGGCTGGGGGTATTTGATTTTGCCCTAGTGGTTGTATTCCAGATCATTTGGGAATCAGTGTAATGAAAAAGAAATGGGTAGGGAAGGGCTTACCCCCATGGAAAACACTGGAGAACATGCCAGGATGCAATTAACCTGTATGTCTCGTTTGCTGATCTGGTTTACACTTCCACTCGCCCAGCAGTGGGGTAAGTAGGTTAGTGGCTGATGTTGCTGACAGGAGGGCATCACCCCCACTTCCTAATCAACGTGAGTAGTGGCAGTGGTGCCTGCTCTCCCTCATCTGGCAGCAAGGTAGGACAACCTTCTCACATCCACTTAGGTATTCTATAGCCGACTTATGGTGTGGCAGAATTAAAGTGACAAGATGTCCTGAGCGCCTGGGACTGAGGAGGGGCCCAGGATGCAGGACTTCCAGTTTTAACACCAGGAAGAGTTGGTCACCCGAGGCAGATTTCAATAAGTCTGTTTATTTGTAACATGATAGCCTGTTCTTTCATCAGGAAACTGCAAACTATAGAGTCCGATGTAGACCTGATCTTATATTTATAAAATAAATATGTGGATACACCTACACATGCATACATATATATCTGATATTTATAACTCACATCTGTAACCATGTTGTCCATCAGGTAATTTAGAGATTTGCGAATGAACTGGTCAAATTCGTCTAAGACCATGCTGTCAATGTAGTTGACATAATCTTTCCAGGAATGGCTCGTGGTGTCCGCTCTGAACAGCTCTGCGTTTTCCTGCAAACAGAACCACACAGTCGGCTGTCGTTTCACTGGTTCATCTGTTCCTTCTTTGATCAATGCACTCAATGACTCTCTGGCTCCCCTTGTCCTTGTTCACAACCTCCAGACACCTGGCTCTGCTTCTAGCTTCTTGAATGTGCCAGGCTCTTTCCTACGGCAGAGTCTTGCACAGGCTGCTCCCTCCCATTCTCGCCAGGTCTAGCTTCTTCTAATAGTTTAGCTTTCAGCTCAAATGTCACCTCCTCACAGAGACCCTCCTTGACCACCCCCCATTCATCTCAGGTTTGGTTCCTGTCCCTGCCCCCACCTGTATTCCCTCTAGAAATCTATTATTGGTGCTTATCATGGCACAGATGACAACTCTGAATTCTTTTATTTATTTTTCTTTGGTCTGTACCTCCCCTTGATACCAAGCTTCATGAGGACAGGGATTGACTGTCCTTTCCACCAGTGTACCTCCAGCACTCAGCAGTATGCCTGGGACAGAGCAGGAACTGGTAGATGGATGAATGGATGGATGGGTAGATGAGTGGGTGGGTGGATGGGTGGGTAGATGTGTAGGTGGGTGGGTGGGAGGGTGGATGAGTAGATGGATGGGTGGATGAATGGGTAGATAGATGAATCCGTAAGACAGTGAGTGCTACAGGGGGACACAAAGATGAATATGACCCAGTCTGTACCCTCAGGGAGGTATATTCTAACAGGGGAGAGAAGACACAGGCTTAAATAACTTCAGCGCAAGGTAGAAAGAAATGGTTCAAATGTCTATCATGGAAATAGAGGACTCTGGCAAATGTATGTGACCTCAAAGCCTTGTCTCATTGGCTCGCTGGCCTCTGCCCACCCAGGGTCCTGCCCCACTGCCCTGCCTCCTCTCCCGCCCTCTCCCTGTGCTCTGCGCTGTGATCCCTTGCCTAACCCTAAGTCAAATAGATCTCGCCTGTGCTCTGTTTCCAACACATCTGAGAGTGTTAACGAGTTAATTGGTTAACTCTTCCAAATAACATTTTTGCAGTTTAACATCTCAGTTTAGTGGGACCTTCTGGCACCATGGCAAAGGAGGAATGAAGATATGGAAACAAGACTGAATATTTTTTGGTCCAGTCAAGTCACTCCATTGGGGTAATGACTTTCCAAGCAACGACTTGACCATGAGAACAGCCAATGACAGACCCTCCTCCCAATGGAGCCTGCTGGTCTGTCTGGGTGTGGTGAACCATCGTTTAAGTCCATACCAATGATTTGTACCATGCACTGGGAAACCCAAAAAAACTGCCCTGAAAACATCTTGAGCTCCAGAGAGAATTTTCTCTTTTTTAGGCCAGTGCAGAGCTCCACCTTTCACATTCGCCTCAGATACAAGCTCAAATGCAAGCTGGATGAAACGCCTGCCAGGTGAGGAAGACATGAGAACCCCCACACAGTCAGGAATCCAGGCGGAGCTTCCAGAAGGCCAGGCTACCATTTTGCATTCGCCCTCTGAACGTGCCCACAGGGACACAGGCCCGTGGACTGTTGTGACTATTGGCAAAAAGGAATATCCTACCCTCTAGGCAGCACAGCAGGTGTGTGTTCTCACATTATCCCAATTTAAACGTGTTGGCACCAATACACCATGCACACACTCGATGTTCCTCACTCTTCACATGGGTGAACCATGGGGAAACCATGAAGGACACTCAATTACACACACAGTGCTTGCCCTCAAGCAGCTTATCCCAGGGAAACAAGAGCTGTTGACCTTGTACAAAGATGTCACTTGTCTACACCAACTTTGCGTGGGGTAGGGGGTGCTGATCCCCCTAGAACAGAGGAAGGCAGACACATGACAAGGGGAATCAGGCTTCAAAGGGGATGTTTGGGATGGTCTGCTATTGTGAAACGACTCTTGGATTAAAGATCGTAGACATCTATGACCACTGAAGCCATTTTTATGAAAAGCAAGTGGGCTCTCGAAGGCCCTCCCGCGTGCTTCCTTACTGCAACCATGGCCTGGATCTTCAGGCCAGCATCCTTGACTGCGGTGTAGCGTTTGTTGAGATTGACCATCCTTCCATCCAAGTCCAACAGAGCATCTTTCTTGTTGTCCTTTCTTTCAAACATCGGGTTGGCAGACCAATCCTGAAAGGAAAACATGAGAGAAAAGCCTTTGGAGAAAATGCTTCTGGTCTTGCTCCTTCACTGCATGCTCTTTGGTGTGAACATCGTCGTCCCTTGCTGACCTAGGAGAGACCTAGGGGCCGCTGAGGACCAGAAAGCCTTAGACGATTTAACTCAAAACCATTCAGGGCCTTGGGGGACCGCAGAGAGACCTCTGGAATGTTTCACCCAGTCAGGCCCAAAAGGAGTCACTCTTGGGGAACGAGCATCTGATTCTCTTGTCGGGGTACCAAAGGAGCTGAGGGTGAGGGAACCCATAAATGAAGAGGTAAGAGACACAACGGCCAGATCTGGAGATGAATGTGGAAATGGTCCGAGTTCCAGAGAACAGAAAGAGACACGTGAGAGAATGGATGACTAAAGAAGGTGCCAACGAGCTGAAGAAATGCTGCCATCTTCAGATGGAAACAGTTAATGAAGTCCAGGGAACATTAACAAAAGGAGATGCATGTCTGGATACACCCTAGTGACATTTCTGAACCCTGAAGATAATGAAAAAATCTACACGCCTCTAGACAGAGAGAACAGGGACTTAAAAAAGGAAAGTCATACTATCGTCCACCTTCTCAACATTGAAGCTACAAGACAGGGATGGCTGTGGGCTGAATTGTGTCCCCTCAAATTTATATGTTGAAGTCCTAATGCCCTAGTACCTCAGGATGTGCCCATATTTGGAAAGAGCGTATTTAAAGAGGTTATTCAGTTAAAATAAAGTCACTAGGGTGGGCCTTAATCCAATATTACTGGTGTCCTTATGAGAAGAGGTGATCAGGACACAGACAGACACAGAGAAAAGACCCCGTGAGGACACAGGGAGGAGATGCCACCAACAAGCCAAGGAGAGAGGCCTCAGGAGAAACCAACCCTGCCTGCACCTTGATCTCTGACTTCCAGCCTCCAGAATTGTGAGAAAATAAATTTCTGTTGTTTAAGCCGCCCTGTCTCTGGTACTTTGTTAGGGCAGCCCAGGCAGACTAATACAGGGATGTTTCTAGACTGTTGAAAGAAAAGGGCCATATCAAAAAATCCTTATCTGGACAAGACAGCCATAGGTGAGATCAAATGAAAGATATTTTTGGACAAGCAAGGACTCGGAAAGTTTGTCATCAACCCACCCTTTCTGAGGAAATTGCTTGAAGAAATATTCCATTCAAATGAAAATTGAATCAGAAAAAAAATAGTGGTAAGCAATGATTTTTGTCTATAATGTAGTGAGTAAATTTAAGTGGGTGGTGATGAAATGAATGTAAACTATAAAGTAGAAAAGTTTCTCACTGTGATAAGCCAAAGGAGTCTTGAAATAGAAGAGATGGGTTCTAAGGAAAAAAACTACTGCTGGTCTGGATCAGAAATTCTAAATGATTTCAACTCACGAGTTTGTGGGGGAGGAGAGGAAGGTGATGGAAATCAGCGTGATCTGAAGTCCCATCTTAGTGCGGGCACGCAGTGGGGTGGTAGAGCAGAGTGGGGCTGCTGGGGCATCTTGATTATTTGATTTTGATATGAAAAATATAGCATAAACATGGTTGTTTTAAAAATAAAAGAGTTACATAGACATTAGAATTAATGGGAGTGGGGACTTGAAAAACTTCCTTTTGGATATATTGCTGCAGATGTCTGCAACTTAGGGCGTTGACGACAGGCCACGGGGAGGCTGGTGAAGGACTCCCCCAGTTCTCTGGATTGGGCTGAGTGCAAGAACTGCGCTGCTTCTGTCATGAGCAAGGAGCTTGCTGCAGGCAGGCTGAGTCTCAGCGCGTCTCTCTCCACCTGGTTCCCGGCACCGGCCTGGCGTAGAGGGGTCCTGCCCGCCTGCTTGCTGAGCTCAACAGAATGCAACAGAACTGAACTCCGCAGAGGGATTGTTTTCTGCCTTGGGACCGCCCCCCAACATCGTTGTGTGGTCCAGGGCCTCAAACAGCAGGTTCCCGCTGCCTTTGGCACTTTCCACGAGCATCTCCGTGGAGCCCGTTTTCCCCAGGACCCCCTCCTGGGCCTCCATTTAAGCCCACTCTGTGCTTTGCAGCTTACTCACCTTCGTGGCCTGGGAAATCCCATCTATATTTTGCTTTGCTTTTTGTATCCTGTTCTGCAAGTTATGTAGAATTTCTCGCATCTCTTGAATATATTCAAACACACCTAAAATATAAGCGTAAAGGAATCTTACAAAATGAACATTTTAGCAAGATGAAAACTTCCCTTGGGCTGGCTTAACGCTCATTATTCCGAGACAGCACTTGGAAAAATACGTCTACCCTTCTGGAATATGAAGCAGAAAAAATCATTGTGAGTTCCCGGAAATGAAATGCTGAGAATAATGCATATTGCGCCTCTTTGGAAGCGGGAGTTCCTTATCCCCAAATAGGTGGATTATTAATTCCACCTGGGAACTCCAGGCACCTGATGTTAAAGGACCCCCACCCCTGTGCACCCCAGCCCCTCCAACCATGAACAGAACGCCGGAGAGACTTGAGCTTCTCAGAGGCCTGGATTGAAACAGCTAGAAAAGAGATGCGTTCTTGGGCAGAAGTGAGAGAAAAGTAGCATAGGGCTTCTTTGCACAGAAAAGTCCAGGTGGATCTCGTTTCAGGTGAGTGGACACTCCCACCTTCTAGGTGAGATAGTGGAGGCAGGATAGGGCAGAAGAGGGCTGAAAGGATGGCAAAAGACAAGTTGGAAGGCCTGGATGGAGGCGGAGCAAAGGCGGTGGTGTCCAACCAGACACTGCTGGGTCTTCTGCCTGATCCAATGGTGGGATGAAGGGAGGAAGGGGACTCATGGGTACACTTCTTTCCACTTCTCCGACACCTGCCCTGAGCCAGCTGCAGCGTGCCCGCGTGGGAAACCACCACAAAGCCCTGGTCTCCAGCAAGTCAAGTTTGGAAACTTGGAACCCTTGGTGGTTCTCAAGGAGTCTTTGCTGATTCCATCTGTAAGTGACACAAATAGGCTCTTTCGGGACTTGGTGAGCAGGTGGAAATATCCTTCAGCTTTAAACATAAACCTGTTGGAGTCAAAGTGGACCCATGGAGCAAGAAGGCAGAAGCGGCCACTTGGGTGTGTTTTAGGACAGATGCTGGACAGGTCAGACCCTCCGCCCCCAGTTTAACCCAAGGTGAAATGAACGTGGCCTTGGTACCTTCGCCATTCCAGAACAACGTCGTTTCAGCGCCCAATAACTTGACATCGATTGCTTCCAATTCTGACTTCACTAGTGGAAATTCTACATCCATCACAGTGGTCTTTATCTGCAAAACGAAGGCTACAGTTTCAGGGCCTTTGTTCCAAATCCAGCAGGACTGAAAATTGTCTTATGGTGAGGAGTTTTATTACTCAATACCAACCAAACCAATTACAATTAGTGTTATTTGATTGGGAATTATATGTAAATCAAATATCAGGAGATTTCAACTTTCATAATTATTTTTATCACCCAGGATTTATGTCTATACTTAACCCTAATTACCCACGTTATGGGACTGAAAGCGAAGGAAGTAGGATAATGCAAAAACAGTGAGAGTATAATCTAAAACTTTTTAAATTTTGGCTTAAAATCACAAACAGAAAATCAGAGAAACACACATGGGTAACTGGGGCATTTCTGGGCTCTGAATCTCTCCTTGATCATAAATCTAAAGCTCAGGGAGGTCCAGGATCTGCAGAGAAACTGTCCCAGTTGTTAACGGCTCAGAGTCAACAACACTAGAGGTTCCATATTGCCTTGACACAGTTCTACTCTGCTTTAAGAAGCTAACGTAACGCTTGAAAACCTCAATTCACAAAACAGAAAAAAAGGAGAAGGAGAGTGTATCTAGTTTTTATAAATTATAAATAATTCCTTTAAATAACAAGCACCATTTGTGCTTTGGAATATCATTCTATCTAGCAACATTTTGATTTTTATATAACTTTTCAAGGACACTTCTACTCTATAAAGAAAGGGATGTACATAGAATTAAAATTGCACATTAGATGCTATTTGCCTTTCAGAATAATTCTTTACATACATTTAGTACTTTAAATGGTGCCCCCACCGGCACCCCCACCAATGCCTTCAAGTGATTTCAGATGATTAACTCTCAGAAAAGTGGGTAAGGGCAGAGAAATAAAGCTAAAAAGCTATTACTAGTGGAAACCAGACAGAAGTAAAGATAGCACCTCCAGAATTACAAAGCGAGTCAATGTGAAATACGATTCCACTTATCAGGGTTTGGTTACGAAACAATTACTCGGGGCAGCGGTCCGTCCCCGCTCAATCGCAGAGCCCCTGCTCTGAGACTATATCCCAAGTGAGATAATCTCATAACGCGCCTCTTTTGGATGTCTGTAACCAAACCCCTGTGAACAGAGTTCAGAGGGGAGCCCCTTACACTGAATTTAACCTGCTGGAAAAGTTGCTGGGTTTCTAGTAACTGACCCTGGGCAAAGACAGCAGGGCTGCTGCGTGATCAGAACCCAGGGCCAGCCCAGCCGGGGCTGCTGTGGAGGGGGCGCTCCTGTGCGGTGAAGGCTGGGCTGCGGGTCTTGCCCACAACTCAAATGGTTACTTGGAGACTCAGGACGGCAATTTATCAACGATTTTTCACTGTAATAGCCCAGAAAAGTAGCTAAATATTATTAGGCCGTTGTAATGGCCAGTGTAAACAAAGCTCATGGTGATAAGGTCCATCTAACACACCCTGTTTATTATTTTTCAACAGCCTATGTTATAAATCCGCACATTTAGGGCATTTTTCCCAGCAGTGTGATCTGAGAGAAAAAAACACTCAAGAGGTCCCTCAGAGAGCCCAGCAGACTCCTTAAAGCTCCACGCCCATTCTTGTCTCATTCGAATATCAGTGAATATTAGCGGTCTGGAGGCTCATGGTGTCTCTCTGCAACAGAAACCATGCTAAGAATAAGAAGGGCGTCTGGGCCGGCCCCGTGGCTTAGCGGTTAAGTGCACGCGCTCCACTACTGGCGGCCCGGGTTCGGATCCCGGGCGCGCACCGACGCACCGCTTCTGCGGCCATGCTGAGGCCGCGTCCCACATACAGCAACTAGAAGGATGTGCAACTGTGACATACAACTATCTACTGGGGCTTTGGGGGAAAAAGGAGGAGGACTGGCAATAGATGTTAGCTCAGGGCCGGTCTTCCTCAGCAAAAAGAGGAGGATTGGCATGGATGTTAGCTCAGGGTTGATCTTCCTCACAAGAAAAAAAAAAAAAAAAAAAAGAATAAGAAGGGCATCTAAGGGGCTCGGGAGCATCTCCAAAGACGGGAAAGAGCATCCATGACAAGTCACTGCAGGCGCTTGGCTCCGGGCTGACTTCGCTACCCCCACTCCACCCAGCATTTTTATCAGCAGAAGGAGATCACTCGCAGTGGAAGCCAACGCGCTTCACAGGTTGGACAGCCTGTCCTTGGTTGGGTTTTGTTTGGACATACAGAAATGGAAGATCAATTTTTTGTTTTTTTCTAAATAACATTTGTTGAGTTTTTTTTCTGATTGCATCGTTGTAGAAAATCTTTTGCACTGAGAGTAACCCATGAACACTTTTCCACATTGCTATTTCCCTAAACTTCCATTTTCTCTAAGCACCATGGCTGGGAGGTGTCCAGGGAACGCATGGACATGCGTCCTCCGAGGCTGAAGAGAGCTGTTTCTGGAGAAAGTGAATTCAAGGAAGTGCACTTAAAGCAGAGACTCTGTTTCATGGTCCGTAGCACAAATGAGTCAATTAAGATTTTATCTTGAAAGTGAAATTAATGAGAATAACTCAGTATTATTGAACACGTTTTAGGTTGCATTACCCCCTAATGCCCTAATTCTTGGAATGGAGTAAGGAATGGATCCGTGGTTGATTTGTTGGTGGGTGTGGGGGAGAGGGAGTGATATTTTTGATAAATCCACCAGATGGCATGACCGACCTGGTGAGCTTCACTTCGCCTTCAGCTTTCCCAGCCTGTTCACGAAGCAGGTCACTTCTACCAAGAGCAGGGGCTTCCTCAGTCTCCCCAGGCTCGCGCCTAGTCTTTCAGTATTCCCATCCTTCTCTTGTTTGGCATCTGAGGTGAGCATCGAATTCTTGGGCTTGTTCAAATACATGGCGTTATCTGGCCACCATCCCCTACACGAGACGTCTTGTAGGCAGGTCCTGGATGACAGAAACACCCTTTGGATTCACAACATTACTGATGCCATTTCTTTCTCTCGTAGGAGGAAGGTGCATGGCACAGCTATGGTGCAGTTAATACCAACTCAGATAGAACCCAGCAAGGAGATGGGGAAGGGCCAGACATGAAGTGGTCCTGGATGGCCTGGGCATCCCCTCCAAGGCCTCTGCAAGACAGGCCAGGGAAAAACAGAGGCCTGGCCCACGTGACTCTAGGAAAGGGGCCCTCACATCAGGAATCTGGAAGTGGGTAAGCATCTCATGGACAGATTGAGACACAAAACACAGAAACAAAAATACTCCAGGTCCCAGGCAGCTGTTCCAGTTGGGGGTGGGTTGGCTGCAAGAAACACGACCCACTGGAGCGAGCTCAAGTCACGTGAGGGTGTGCTGCAAGCGAGCTCCCAGAAGGGAACCCCACACTGCTTGGAATCTTTTTGTTCCTGGAAGTTCAAGTACTTGACTTCTCTCAGAACTGCCACCAACTAAGGCAAATGAAGACGACAGAAAGGGTCAGGGGTGACCTCAATAGTACAGCACCTAGCGACACAAGTGAGGCAGGGATGTATCAGAGGACCCACAGGGACTGGCCCTGCAAAGTCCACATCCAGGCTCCTCCTCTGTCTCTCGGGGCCTTTCTGGCCACCTTCTCTCTTCCTTCTGCAGCCTGTGTTTCTGCTCGCTCTCAGTTTCTCTGCTCCCCCGTGATCCAGTGTCAATGGGGCTGGGACCCAATTCCAAATTCCCAGCATGCTGAGGAGAGGGGACCTTGGCCCCTTTTTGGATTAGGTGTCTGCAGTAGGCTCAATGATGGCTCCAAAGATGTCCATGTCCTCATCTCTGGGACCTGTGAATACATCACCTTACACAGCAAAAGAGAACTTGCAGATGTGATTCATTTAAGGACCTTGTCACCGGGAGATTGCACTGGATTATCCGGGCGGGCCTAATGCAGTCACAAGATCCTTATAAGAGGGAGGCAAGAAGGTCAAAAGAGAAGAAAGCAGGGCCAACCCTGGTTGCCTAGCGGTTAAGTTTGGTGCACTCTGCTTTGGCAGCCCGGGTTTAGTTCCCAGGCGCGGACCTACACCACTCACCTGTCAGCGGCCATGCTGTGACAGCAGCTCACATGCAAAAAGAAAAGAGGAAGCGGATGATAGCTCAGGGTGAATCTTCCTCAGCAAAAAAAAAAAAAGAGAGAGAGAGAAGAAAGCAACGTGAGGACAAAGCAGAGGTGGGAGTCATGTCATCTGAAGATGGAGTGAAGAAGGAGCCTCGAGCCAAGGCATGCAGGCGGCCTTTAGAAGGTGGAAAAGGCAAAGAAACAGATTCTCCCTGGAGCCTCCAGGAGGAAGCAGCCCTGCTGACACCTCACTTTTAGCAGAAGGAAACAGATTTTGGACTTCTAACCTCCAGAACCAGAAGACAATAAATTAGTGTTGTGTTAAGCCCCTCAGTTTGTGGTAATTTGTTACAGCAGCCACAGGAAACTCATGCCATGTCCTCATCTGGCCTAATCTATGGCCGGGCGTGGGGGTGACGGTTGTGTGGCACAAATGGCAGCCTTTTCTGGGATCTGTGGGAAGGGTCTGTAAGAAAGGGGGTGCCTAGCACAAGGGTAGGCATACTGACTGCCCGCTGTGCCCCGAGCCCACACTTTCCAAGTCCCTTCTGGTCACTGACTCAGCTCCCAGGGGTTCCTGTGCAGGAACGAGGTGCTCGGAACAGACAGCCCTGTTGTCCCCCAAGGCTAATCAGTGACTGGAAACTCTTAGTGGTGATCAGCCTCTTCGTGATGACTTGTGTCAGGCCCCAGAGCCAAGCAATGTCAGGAGTCGAGACTGAAGAGGAATTCTTGAGCCATAGAATGAGGGGTGGGCTAGCCCCCTCCCCAGGCACATCTCTTCCCCTATCTCGAGGGTAGTCCCTCACGCTTGGCCTGTTCTCCACATGCCGCCGGGAAATTCACAATCCTCCTCGATTCCAGGAAACGCCCCCATACACTTTCACGGGTGTAATGGAAGTAGTCTTGAGTGGCTTTGACATTACCCAAAGCAAAATATATTTAGGAAAGTAAAGCATCTGTAAACAGTCATGTAACAGAAGCCAAAGTCCAACGGAAGTAAGGTTTCCATCATCAGTTGTTTTGAGTTGTCAACAGCTTTGCGGCCGCTGCTGGGTGAATAATGGAGAGTGGCTCTAATCCACATTTGAATATGAGAATGTACTCAGTTATTTTACTGCACTTGGAGATCTAATACCTGTGTTTGTTCTAAACAAAACCCGAAACTCGGCAAACAGAACAAAACAAAACTCCACCAGCTCACCTCATTATACCAGCCAACGATGAGTTCCAAGTTGCCCACAAACTTCCGGAAGGTTTCATGCTGTGAGAACAGATTCTCTGCACTGCTTGGGATCTCTTTTTGTTCCTGGAAGTTCAAGTACTTGACTTCTCTCAGAACTGCCACCAACTAAGGCAAATGAGGATGACAGAAAGGGTCAGGGGTGACCTCAATGGTACAGCACTTAGCAACACAAGTGAGGGTCTGTCCCTGGGACGCTTCTGCAGCCTAGGGGATTTCAAAGTTGGGAGGAGGCGTGTTCAGGGGGGTGTTGCTGGCAGGATCATCCTCGCCCTATTTATTGGTCTTGAACCAGAAAATGCTGGCATTGCCAGCGTGAGTGGACAACATTATCATAACTTCCCAGGTTGTTTGGAGAAAGGCTTCAGGGCTTCACCTGGGTCCTCCACAGGACCTAAGCTTCCCTCTTCCCTCTCCTCCCACCTGGTTATGGCCCAGGAGAGCAAAACAGGGCATCCTTTCAACAGAGCTTCTGCCCTGTTGCTTGCCCAAAGCTGTTCTCATCGAGGTCCCGGTAACCTTCATGTTGCTGAATCCATTGGTCACTTCACAGGCCTCATCTCGCTTGACCGCTCAGCTGCTGGTCACTCCCTCTCCTGGGCGCACGGTCTCCCCCCTTGGTGCCCGGGACACCAGACTCTCCTGGTCACTGCTATCAGTCTCTTTTGATGCTTTCGAGACTTGCATGTTGGAGAGCCACAGAGCTTGGTCCCTCTCAATCTACTCTCACCTTGGAGACCTCACCCGAAGTCATGACTTTAAGAACCATCTGTGTGTGGATGACTCCCATGTTTAGGTCCCCAACCCAGACCTCTCTGCTGATCCCCAGACTCATCTATCCACCTGCCTACTCAGCTTCTCCATCCGGATGTCTCATGACGTCTCAAACTCGATGTGACTGGCGCGCTGTCGATCTTGCCCCCCAGCTGCTCCACCTGCCGTCTCCAGCCGCCACCTCAGCTGCTGGCAATTCCCCCCTCCGGCCGCCCAGCCCCAAAATGCTGGGGCTGACTCTGCTCTTCCTCAAAGACTGGATTTCCAACCCATCCGGATCAATTGGCTCATTGGCTCTGTGATCAAAGTCCAATCGCTCTTCACACGTTCACTGCTGCCGCTCTGGTCCCGGCCACTACCCTCTCATCTCTCTCGCCCGGATTCCAGCAAAAGGCTCCTAACTGGTCTCCCTACTGCAAGCCTTGCCCTTTCCTCAATCTATTCACCCCACAGCATCTCGAAGGATCCTTGAAAAATATAAGTCAGATCAGAGCCCTCCTCTGCTCGAAAGCCAGCAATGACTGCCATCTCACCCACAACAAAAACCCAAGAGCCCTCAGTGGCCTGTGAGGCCCCCGTGCTCTGTCCTCCACCCTCCTCCATCCTCTCCCCCAGCTCCTCTCCCACCCACCTCCCCTTTGCTCACTCCACCCGCCCCACTGGCCTCCTTGCTGCTCCTAGAACACCAGGCACACTCACACCTCCAGCCTTCGCTTTAGCTCTTTGCTCTCCTGAAGGCTTTCCCACAGGTCTCTGCTTGGCCAACTCCCTTACTCCTGCAAGTCTGCTCACATCCCAAACCGAAACCTGCCCCATTTCCTCCAGCTCTACTGACCCCCTTAACCTGCCCTTCCGGTTCTTTGAGGTACCCATCATCACTTTCTCAGTATTATAGACTTCACCTCTTTTGTTGTGCTAATTTATCACCCCACCTTCTCCTTGCTCTCCCACCCAGCTCTCCCCTCTCCCTCATCCCCACCCCCCACCCCTCCTCCCCCGGGAGCTGAGCTCCAGGAGGACAGGGACCTTTGTCCACCTGGCTCACTGATGTATCCCAGCACACACACACACGGGGTGCTCAGCAAATATTTGTTGAATGAAAGAAAGAATGAATTTTAGTGAAAGAGAAGGTTTCAGAGGAAGTCACACCTGGGTGTCCTGCCTTCCTGGTATCACCCCCGTTCAGAGCGAGGCACAGGCGTCCTTGCCGGGCCAGTGCCTGTAGGCATCAGGCAGCTCCTGCTTCTCTCCTCGGTCCCCAGCTAAACTCCCCAGGCACAGCCCACAGTGTGACTTCTCTCCAGCTTGCTCAACTTGACCAGAGGGCCTGTTTGTTCAGATCCCGCAAAGACCTTTTTTTTTCTTTTTTTTAATAAATTCTCAAATTGATGTTTCCTCTTGAGACTCCATGAAAGGCAGCCAAGCTTTAAAATCATGTACTCATTGAAGCCATTTTCAAAGTATTTTGTCTCATATCTTAAATATATCCTGGACATACTTTTAAAAGTACTTAAATAATAAAGCTTTAGATACACATGACACAAACATCGATCCCCACAAGAACACGCTGCTGGCAGAAGGGGATTTGCCTCAGCGGCTTTGGGCTTCTCCCACCCCCACCTGCAGTGGGACTCGGGGTCCCAGGTGTGGCCTTTGACTCGGCCGCCTTCCGGACACAGTAGCAAGATGGCACCCACCGCTTTGCTGAAGTTGACCTGGATGAGGTTTGTGACGGGGTCCCGCTGTATCAGGGGCTGCCCCAGGTTGAAGTGGCAGTCCTGGTCCACTCCTGCCACCCACTGCTGGTAGATCTTCTCACGGTAGTGCCTCAGCAGCTCCATCATCTCGTCATATTTCTGGTAGATCAGCTTGGCCTCCACGCTGGACATGACCCTGGAATCAGAGGTAGATGGAGTGGCAAGGCGCCAGGCCTCATGTTCTCATCTTCTTCGGGGCCTCTTTAGTGCCCCCAGTGTGGCGGCCAGATCTCGGGGTGCTGACCCAGACAGTCAGCTTTCTGTCTCTTCCAGGCTGAGAGACTGAGCACACAGACAGACAAGGGCCCTCAATCTGCAGCAGCCAGTCCAGGAAGTCAAACAAGAACCCCTGTAGCGGGCCGGCCCCGCGGCTTAGCGGTTAAGTGTGCGCTCCGCTACTGGCAGCCCTGGTTCGGATCCCGGGCGCGCACCAATGCACCGCTTCTCCCGCCATGCTGAGGCCACGTCCCACATACAGCAACTAGAAGGATGTGCAGCTATGACATACGCTATCTACTGGGGCTTTGGGGGGAAAAAAAACGAGGAGGATTGGCAATAGATGTTAACTCAGAGCCGGTCTCCCTCAGCAAAAAGAGGAGGATTAGCATGGATGTTAGCTCAGGGCTGATCTTCCTCACACACACACACAAAAGAAACCCCTGTAGCAACTGGTCCCACAGGGCCAGGACTTGGTTAATAACTGCCCGCTTCCCTCATTTTTGCCCTCCCTTCCAACTTAGGACTACCCAGAGATAGCCAAATACACCCCCTCTAAGCAATCACATAGGATGTCCCTCTTCTAGTCCCCGTACCAACAGCCTCCAGTCCTGCGGGGCAGACCCGACGCTCCCCTCCGCTCCTCCATAAGCTCTCTCACTCCACTGCCTGCTTTTGAGTCTCTGCCAAATGCAGGTGAGGTGGCTGACTCCCTGCTACAGCAAACTTGGAGTAAACAGCCCGTGCTTGTTCTCATGTGAGTGGTCGTGGTTAAACAATTGCCATCGGGCTGACCATCAACAGGGGGCAAGCCAGATTCTTCCTGACCACACTTGCGGAGAAGGCGCCCGGAGGAGGAAAGGGGGCACATGAATGGGGAGTCCTCCGGGATTGGGCTTTGGGAGGTAAAGTCTTGGCCAATATGAAGCATGAGATTGCCTTGGGAGTTGGGATAGACCCTCCCCCTCTCCCACAGCCATGGAGCAGCACTGCCCACCCGGTGCCCCTGGTGCTATGACTCACGGGTGCTCTATGTGCCTTAGGTCCTTCATGGGCGCCTCCAGCCTCTCCTGCAGCTCCAGGCTCCATTTGAGCTGCCCGGCCACCGGGGGCATGTTTTTGTGGATCGGGGGGATATTCCCGCCTGCGGAGGCTGCAATCTGGGCATCATACAAGATCTTGGTGTTGTCCAGCTCGGCATCAAACAGCTCCAGCATGACCGAGTACCTGGGCACCACCTCAGCAAGAATCAGAGGTCGCTCCAAGAGGCCCCCACACATGTGCAGGAGCTGGGGAGAAACGAGAGATGCGCCTTCGCTGGGGTCCCCACTGTCTGCACCATGCATTACCCCAGCCCCATGGCTGTTGATGCAATACATGCAACCAAGTTTCAGGAGCAAGAAAACATGCACCCTGTCAAGACAAAGATCCATTCGAACCTTTCTCTGTGTAACAACTTGTTCAGTGAAGCCCTCTGTGATCTTCATATTCACATGTGCTGAGTCCAAAACACTTGACTTATAAACCAACAACACAAGTTAGGTCCAAGGTCTGGAAAAATTTATTCTAGGCCCACGAGAAATCAGAATTTGTACAAGGAAGATTTGAACAATTAAAAAATATGATTAAATAAATTTTAAAATAGCCAGGGCTTCCTCTGATAACCGGATGGAGACATGTCTTAATCACAAGAATTATTCCTCCAAGGACAAGCAATGATGCTCAATGATATGCCCAGGTAAGAAAAACCACCACCAGGAGGTTTGTTTTTCTCTGAAGAAAGCTATGGGGAAAGGGAACTATAGGGAAGGGAGCCAGAGAGGAGGAGGACGATCTTACACTACATGGGGTCCCCAAATTACTCTACTCGCCAAGTGCTGGGTGGGAGCCAGAAATCCTCATGGGTTTCCTTGGGCTGCCGTGGCAAAATAGCATGGAGAGAGTGACTGAAACAACAGAAATGTATTCTCTCACAGTGCTGGGAGCCAGAAATCCGAGATTAAGGTGTCGGCAGGGCTGTGCTCCCTCTGAAGGCCTGGGGAGAATCTGTCCCAGGCCTCTCTCCTAGCTTCCCGGCATCCCTTGACTTGTAGACCCATCACTCCACTCTCTGCCTCCCTTGTCATATGGCCTTCTCCCCTGTGGGTGTTTGTGTCTGTGTCTCTTCTCCTCTTCTTATAAGGACACCAGTCATACTGGATTAGGGAGCCCCCCTGCTGCAGTAGGACCTCATCTTAACTTATATCTTAATTGCATCTGCAAAGACCCTATTTCCATATAGGGTCACATGCACAGGTACCAGGGTTTAGGACTTCAACAGATCTTTCTGGAGCACACAGTTCACCCCATCAACAGGGGTGTGTGTTTCAGCACTGGGCTGGTGACCAGGGTGGAGGCACTGGGGATGGGGCCCAGAGGATGTGCACCGATGCCGGGAGCCGGAAGCATTAACTGGGAGAACTAAGCCCCTGAGGACATTTGAGGAAATTTTAGGGAGAGCTTTGGAATGTTAAAGGCCATAACCTTTGGGTTCAAGCCCAGTTTACCTACATCCCCAGGGAGCAGGGAGGTTGGGACAGCCTGGGTCCCCTGTAATGTGTCATTTCCACGAGAGGAGAGGCTGGGCCTGCAGATGGTTTAGGCAGAGTGCCACTGACCTGAATTACTCCAGGAGGGTGTCCCAGCACCTTTGTGAAAGCAGCAACCTCACCCAAGCACCTCTGCAAGTAGCCACCTCATCACCCTCACTGTCTACGTAGGGGAAACACTGGGAATCGTGCAAAAAGTGAGAAGCTCAGTAGGAGAGAATAAGCTATTTTATCTAGGTGTTTCAGTTAGGGTCCTGGCTGGAATCAGATGGTGGCTCAAATTGGGATATAGAGCAGAGTTTCATACATGATCATTGCACAGAGGTGGGTGGCTAGGGTGTAGGGAAGCCTAGGGGCAGTGTGGGACCTAGGGCTGTGCCTGAGGGGTGAGGGAGGCCCTTACTGGAACCTGGAGCCAGAGACTGTGTGGGGTGGACATGTGATGGAAGTTCCAGAAGCTCTGCACTCCCTCAAGTGACCCCCACACCCCCCACAGGGGGAGGAGAAATACCTGAGGCACCTTCTCCTCCCTCCCTCCCTCCCCTCCCCTGCCAGGGCTCCCCACTGGCCGAGCCAATGACAGCCCGAAGGCTGGTGGTGCCCACGGCGGCCAAGGACTGTTCTGGAGGCAAACAGGGACTAACCAGTGCTCAGACCACACAGTCTGGAATACACAGCCACAGCTCTTGTTGCCTCGAGGGCTGGACCTGAGCCTCAGATTTGCCCCAGTTTTTGGCCTGAAAAATATAACCACTGTCCCTAAAAATGGTCTTTTGGGGAAAGAGTGAAACATGGATGCAGAGAAAGGAGGATAGATTTTCAGGCCCCCAAAAAACCAGATAAAGCAGCCACTGACCCTTAGGAAGAAATTGAAATGCTGATGTTCTAACCACAGCTACCCGCAGGGCAGCTACCAACATATTAGGTCACCAGTGTCATTTTAAAAATGGACACATGACAGATGGAAAATAATGTTCCTCTTCTTGGTTAATGACCCTCCTGACTTTTCCTCCCTTCCCATTCCTCTTCCCTTCCTTTCATGTTTACATATTTTTTGGCTTCTGGCTTCTAGGAAGGAAGCTAATTTTATTTTCTGCCAAGAGGAGATCATGTGGAAAATTGCTCTAGAACTTTCCTGGCTGTGTGTGAATTACTGACAGCGAGAAACAGCATCGAGGCAGCTTGGGAACACGCAGGGAATGGAGGGGATCGGCGGGAGGGAGGGCGCCCCAGGGCCCATCCTAATCAGAGCGCAGGGTTGTCAAATGGGGAAGAAAATGTTCTCAGGTACTGAGAGAAAGACGGGCAGATGGAGATGGAAATGGTTTCCAAGAGTTCTTTTCGCCCTTATTTTCCTTTTTGTTTTTCTTTTAATGTAGCATAAACTTAAAGTTTAAATTTAGAAAAGGACTTTTCCTTTTGGACTAGAAAGTAGGATTTAGGCCATAATAGGAGGGGATGAGCTACACAATAAAACCCGGGGTGGATGGAGTTCTATCCTGCGGGCGCCATAGTGCTTGTCATCCTGGACTGTGTCCTCCCTTCCCAGTGGTGACTACATCCTCGTCATCTTCAAGGGGACAAGCGTGTCAGTTTAGAGACATCAACCCAACTCCTTCCTGTTACTGGAAAATGACACGCAGCTGCATCCTGCCTGTGGGAGGTGTGGGGCTGCCGCCCTCTCAGGAGCTGAGAGCCGCTAACTGGCCAGCACACACAGCCGGTTAGCTCCAGCATCGCCTTTCAGTTCTGGAAACCCCATCGCAGGGGAGGCCCCGGTGTTTGCAAATTAAAGGATTGGCTGGGAACCTCTGCTCGGGACCCTTCAGCACGTGGGCAGCCCTTGGAGCTTTGTGTTAACACCCTCTGGGGTTGCACACCTAAGGTCCACCCCAGAGTGAGGCTGCCTCCCCATGACTCCCTCAGTGGGAGCCAGTTCCCTCCAAAGGGAAAGCTCATAATCACCTACTATGTGCTGGGCTAGGTTCTGCATGAACCTAAACCAAGCGCCTGCCCTCAGGGAGTTTATATTCTAGTTGGGAAGACAGTGAATACACAACAGAGATCACTACACAACAGAATACCAGGGGGCCCGAGCGCTAAGAAGAAAACAGAGAGGTCAGTATCAGCAATGGAGAGAGAAGGATGGCGAGAGGGAGGCAGGGGGAGAGGGGAGAATGGGGAGAGGGGAAGATGGAGGGAGGCGGAGGCTGCCCCTTGAGGGAAGAAGGTGGAGGCAGGCCCCTCCTGCAAGGTGGCAGGAGACAGCTACCTGGGGGAAGAGTGTTCCAGAGAAGGGAACAGAGTGGAGGCATTGTATTAATTTGCATTCATTGATATTTTGCCTGGAGCACCAACTCAATCCAAGACTTAACTGATCATTACATTTGCAGAGCTTCAAATTCCCTTGTATTTGCATTTTTCAAAAGAATGTCTAAAAGGCAAAGGAACATCTTGGCATTTGCATTAGAAAGATCTTTGTGCTCAGGGGTGGGGGGCTTCCTGGGTCCCCAGCTCAGCCCCAGGAAGCCCAACCCTGACATCCTCCAGGAAGATGGCCACCATCCTGGGCTGCCCAGGCCAACTGGACTGTCTCCCACGATGGGAGCCCGTCTGGCTGAGTGGTTGGGAACAGGGGCCCTGGAAGCAGTCAAGCTCATGGCCGGTTTGGGGTCCTGGTTCCTCTACTTGCTGGCTAGCTGTGTGACCTTGGGCAGGTTTCTTGACCTGTCTGAGCTGGTAAAATGGGGTGGATACTGTAGGTAATGAGTTTAGCAAAGAGCTGGGGTTGTTGTGAGAATTCAATGAGACAATATAGTGCTTAGAAAAGCGCTTGGGACATGAGATCCTATAGTGACGACTGGGCATCTCCTGTGGGCATTTCACTCCCTGCAGCACCCGGAGGCTTGCGAAGAGAAGGGAAGAGAAAAGAGAGCTCTGACCTGCATAGGCATAATCAACAGACATGCATAAGAGTGGGCAGAGCAATAACAAAGCTCCCCAGGCACACACCTATATTTACTCATTTACATACTCAACACCTGTTCTCCAGATAGGCTGTATCCGCACACACTACATCCTGCAGAGGTTCCCCTCTCAGTGGTTTGTAGGGGCAGGCAGGTCACACAGATGCAGGAAGAAGACCGGGCTAGGACAATAAGGAGTGGTGGGGACTGGGACAAACTGGACTACTCATGTTCTGTCCACTGGGAGTAGCAGCTGTCCCCCTTCAGCTACCTGTTACCATGAGGCACTGTGTGTCCTGTGTGGCCAGATCTACATTTCCAAGAGAGGGTGAAAATCTAGACTTCTATGTGAACTTTCTCAATTTTTACATGTTGGCAACTAAAAAAAATTTTTAAGTGCCATGTGAGAACAGATAGATCTATATACACAGAGTACATTAGTGATTGTCTAAGCTGGGAGAGGTTGGGGGAAACAGGAATGACTGAGGGGGATGAAAATGTTCTAAAATTGATTGTGGATGGTTGCACGACTCTAAACATACTAAAAGCCATTTAATTGTGCACTTTAAATGGGTGAATTGTTGGCATGTGAATTATATCTTAAAAGTATCGCACGAGCCAGAGTAAACCCACCGGTGGTCTCTGTGCAGCCCGAGCCATCAGTATGGGACTCTGATGAACGGGCATCACGCCATGTTCTGAGTTACTTGACAAGACTGTGATGTATGCAAAACACTGGAAACCCTAACAATCATCATGGCTATTAAACTGCTGAGCATGGCTACTTTGAGTAGAGGGGGTGCAAATTTTCTTTGTGCATTATGTTTTTCTGAGTTTATTATTTAAATTAGCTGGCCTCCCTTGTGGTAATTTGTTATGGAGCAACAGAGGCAGATGCCATGAAACATCTGATCACCCCCCCAGACTCAGCAATCTTGCTGTTCTCATTCATACTTATTTGGCACCTCCTGACTGCTTGGTGAGGGTCCCAGTGTGCCTGCGACTAAAGGGGTCTCCGAAACGCTAGACTTTCAGTTTCAAAACCAGACGGTCCTGGGAATGGTGGGGCAGAGAGAGGACGTGCTCAGTGTTTGGGTACCCCCAGCTGCTCAGCATGTTGTTCTCTCTGCAAGTTAGTGAACTGGCTTGTTGGCCCTGAACATTGGCCACCAAGTGACCTTGGACCAGGAAGGTTCAGAGACCCCCCTCCAGGCCTGCCAACATGCCCATTGACTAGGGGTCCTCAGGGAAGAGTGCACCAATCAGCAGTGGGGACCAGAGTGTCTGGCTCCTCACAATCCTAACCAACTTGACTGGTGACAATGGCACCTTGCTGGTTTTTGTGTGTGTGTGTGTGTGTGTGTGTGTGTGTGTGTGTGAGGAAGATCAGCCCTGGGCTAACATCCGTGCCCATCTCCTCTACTTTATATGGGATGCTGCCACAGCATGGCTTGACAAGCGGTGCATCGGTGCGTGCGTGGGATCCGAACCTGTGAACACCAGGCCGCCACAGCAGAGCGCGCGCACTTAATCGCTACGCCACGGGGCTGGCCCCGCACCTTGCGGTTTGAATTGCACTTTCTGATTATCTGTGAGGTCAAACTTCAAACAGACGTGTGTATCGGCCGTTTGTAATGTTCTTTTGAATTGATGTTCTCTAGGGGTTTTAGTGCTTTTCTACAATCTAGTTTCTAAAATGCTTTTTTCATAGCATCAATTCTTTTTTCCATTTGTAAAAGTACCACATACTTAATGAATGCAACTTAGAATTGTAGAAAAGTCCACAGAAGACAGACAAACATTAGCCATCGCCCACCACCCAGAGATGGTGCCCCGTAATGCTCTGAGTTTGCTTCCTGAGTCTCACACGTTGAAGGGTGTGTAATTCAGCTCAGTGGGGAAAATGTGGATTCGTTTTATTTTTATAGCAATTTTGCCTCTCTCTGACTTTTGTTCTTTCAAGTAGTGGGGGAATTGAATCGAATAAGAATAAAAGGACACAGCGAGAATCAGTAAAATAGCTGTCACCTCCTGCTCACTTCGTTCTCTTGCCCTAAGAAATGGCAGTGAAACCCAACAGATAGCACTCAAGGTGTCCATTGCCCAACAGCACCAAGACGTTGAGAAAGACCCCTAGACGTTCTGAGCCCAGCTCTTCATCTCTGAATGAAGATGTCTGATTAACCACCTCTAAGATTGTTCTCGGCATCAGTCACATGCTGCTGTGCCGAAGTCGCCAACAGAGCAGAGCCCCACCCACGCGTACCTTTGCACAGGACTCAATGGAGCTGCAGTCGTCAAACCCTTGGCAAAAGATTGTGGCCAGCCTCCTATCCAGATCTTGAATTTTGGTCTCAAAATCAGCGTAATCGTCATCAAAACTCTAAAAGTGAATTGAAAGGTCAACCTCATAATCAGCATGCAGAGTAGGAGCAGTGCTGGCTCTAAGGCCCCCACCCCGCTGGCAGGATTCAGGCTTACAACTTAGCTGAGCAGGCTCATTGTCTGGGGACTGCTCCAGTGCAGAGGATGTCTTTATAAAAAAAGTGTTGGGATTGTCCACCACACACACTCCCTTCGTGTGTCTTTCCCCTCCTGGGGCACGTGTCATTGATCCGGCCAAGGCCCCGGACTTACCGAATCTCCAGGGTCCAGGGGGTCATATTTGCAGTCGGCGAAAACCTTCACCAGCTCAAAGACCTCATCGTATATCTGAGTGACCAGGCTTCCCAGGATGTTCCCCCTCACTCCCCCGAGCTCGATTTTCTCTAGCTTCAGAAACTCAATAGCTGTTTTATAAAGGTCCTGGTGGAGGAAAAAATCCAGTGCACTTAGTCAATTCATCTTTATAACCAAACTCAATGGTTCAGTCACTAATCTAGAGCTAACCCCAGCAGGGAGGAGCCAGGGAGGCAGATGCCCCGGGGCCACACGACAATCCTGGGGGGGCCCTCTGTTTGTGTTGGTGTTCTCTAAGAGTCATTTCCAGAACACAGAGAGAGTGGATAGAAGGAAGGGTTCCATGAATCATCTCCAAGCTGTGAACACAGAGGAGGAAGAGGAGATGATGGTTGGCCTCTTGTCCTGACCTTATGCTGGCCAAAATGTGTCTCCAAATAAATCACGCTTTACTGGGGCCCCCATTTCCTCAGCTGTGGGAAGAAGCAGTTGGAAAGGCATGCAGTGGTTTCTGATGCTCTTGCTAAGCTTCAAATTCTCTGCTTCCTGGGGGAGGATTCCACACTCAGAGCCCGTCCGTGAAGGTGATCTGAGAGGATGTCCTCACTCCCGGGATGCCCGATGGATGTGCACGTGTATGCTCTACCTCCTCTGAGCAGTGGCTCTCGTCTCGCCTTCTCCTGGAGGCCTTCCCAAGTATGGTAGCCCACAGTGGTGCCTACCTTTTCAGAATCTCCATTTGCTGTAGGTGTTCTTTGTTTTGGCATTTAATCCCATTCGGTCCCATCATGTTACCTAATGCTTCTGTGTGTGGCTCTTATTTCCCAGTCGAGATCCCAAAGTCTCCTTGAGGACTGCAAGCAGGGTCTGACAGCACCAGCACCAACTGGACTGAAGATGCTCATATGGCGCTCATTTCACTCTCCTACGCCGGTGCCGACGTTGGCACCATTTTCCCAAAGTGTCCAAGACACGTCAAGCCGTAACCAAAGCAAACCCATGAAAAGCAACAGCACAGCCACGCCCTGAGCTCCCGGGCTCCTCCACCCAACGACAAGGACGTGGCTGACATGGCCACGTGGTGGGGGTGACATGGAAATAGCAAGGCTATTTCCCCCACCCTCAGAAGCCCCTCTTTCCCGGAAACGTCATCCTGATTCAGAATCTGTGGTGAGGGAACCAACAGCCACTTGGCCAGAAACTTGCCCGGGACCCTCAGCTCCCAGGCTGGGCGCCCTCAGGCACGAAGAAACACCCTGTGATGGAGACCCCAGAGTCCCGCGTGGGCCCCTCTGCCCCCAGAGGGTGTGGATGAGACCCAGACGGGACCTCCTGCAGCCACTGCTGATGGCGCCCACCGTAAAATCAACGCTCAGTGGTTCCAGGATCATTTTTCCTCTTTTTAATGATGTGAATAGCATGTGCACAAAGTTAAAAAAAAAAAACCTACAGAAGATTACAAAACAAAAAGCAAAGCTTTCTTGCCCTACCCATGTCTTCACCCCTCACGTCTTCTCCCAGAGGAAACCATCTTGGACCATCTAAAAATCTGAAGGTGCTAAGCGTCGACCCCTGTACCCAACAGGGGTACCGGGGTACAGAAGGGCCGCTGCAGGGTCCTTCTACGTCTTCACCTGTCCTCAGCCCCTAACTCTCTCCCTGTGGCCTCCAGGCTTCCTGACCACAGTCATTTAATTTGTCACTAGCCTGCTCATCGACAAAAGGCAGGAGATAAGGGGAGGGGCAACCAAAGTGGGTCCTGTTCTTCTTGGCTGACAGCTCCGGGCGCGGAGGGGTTGGCCCAATGACTCGGTTCCCCAGGACATGGATGTTTGGGTGTGACTTTCATTTCCGTCCGGGGAGACTACTTGAAAGTGCGGTAAGGACGGAAGCCACAGCCATCCTAAGGCAGGGCAGCCTGTGTAGCGCAGGTGTGGCTGAACCAAATATCACCTTTACCTCAATGGTCTGGAGGCGATGGAAGAAGGAATTCATTCTGGAAAATGCAAGAGAAGAAGGGAATTCCCACAGCACTGGCTCCTTGTTTTTCTGAGAGAGAGAAAAAAGGCCATGTTTGCCTCAAACACTCCCACGGATTCAAATGCAGGGCCGATATCAACTGGACCTCAGCTCAACCCCGATGCCTGCTCTGCAGACCAAGGCGTACCTTAAAGAACAGCCTCATGTTTGTGCAGCAGAAGTCGTAGATCCGGTAGAGCTCCTTCAGGACGTTCACAGACAGAGAGATGCCACTCAGGACCTCCTCTATTTCACCTTGCAAGCCTTTCAGCACCTCTTCTGGGCTCAGGAAAGTTCGTGTCTGGGCCAAAGGAAGACATTCCGAAGTCCTGACGAGCCACATGGGGGATGTCCAGGCGCAGTGTCCACAGGCCACTTGGGCGGTTAGAGACAATCTACCCGGGGCCCCATGATCTGCTTCTTACGACACATTAACTGTCCCTCAGGCTCACGTCCCAACCTGTCTGCCAACCGCTGGGCGGTTTTCAGGAGACTGAGCTGCCTCCCTCACCTGGCCCCTCATCCCGTGCTAAGGCTGCAGCAAAAAACAGATTTTGGTCACAGATGACCAGGGGCCCTCTAGGGGCCCAGAAATACAGTCCTGCTACGGGCTGCAGGATCCTGGCCTGAGGGGCCCTTCCTGTCCTGCAGGCAGGGCTGCACGATTTTAACACACACAGGCTGCCCGCAGTTGGCAAATGCGTGCTCATGAGAAGGAAGAAGGAAAGGGAATCCATGTTGAGAGAGACAGGAGGTGGCTCGATATAGCACCAGACAAACCCCACAAAACCCCCGGCCAAGTCTTGGGGTGCTGGGACTTGAGGGACAGGCCCCCTTACCTTCCTCCACCCTCCCAACTTGGGGTGGGTTGGGCTGGCATTGCCGAGGTATTGGGAGAACTCTTGGGTGGCCACCAAGAGGGCCCAACCTTAGCCTAGGCCGAAAATCCCTGTGCCAACATCTCTGCCTGCCTTTTTTTTTTTTTTTTGGGTGAGGAAGACTGGCCCTGGCTAACATCTGTTGCCAATCTTCCCCTTTTTGCTTGAGGAAGATTGTCGCTGAGCTACCGTCTGTGCCAGTCCTCTTCTATTTTGTATGTGGGATGCCGCCACAGCATAGCTTGATGAGCGGTGTGTAGGTCTGCACCCAGGATCCAAACCCACAAACCCCTGGCCGCCGAAGTGGAGCTTGAGAACTTAAGCACTACGCCACCACACCAGCCCCACTAGCTGCTTTTAAATGGCCAGGAAATGCGAGCAGGGAGACAACTGGGTGAAAAGAGAGAGAGGACCCAACCAGGGGGCAGGGCAGGTGGCCAGGTGTTAGGTGAGGGCTACCATCTCAATGATCTGGTTGCAGAACTCCTGCAGGATGACGATGATCCTGGAGGGCGTGTTATAGTGCTCGGAGGTGGCCCAGATGAAGCAGATGGTGTACAGCACCTTGGCAATGTAGCTCGGGAGCTGGGGAGACACGAGCCCAGACGTGTGCTTTGTGGCAGCATCTCAGGTCTCCCCTCCCCATGGCTCCAGGAGGGGACCCCAAAGTGGAAGGAGGAGGTGCTCCCTAGGCTCACACACCTGATCACAGCCAAGAGGCCCGCAGCACCTGCTCCCCCAAGACACAAGACCAGCCCCTGCAAAGTGACCTTTCTCTTGCCAACATACCACTGTGAAGTCAGCCTGTTCCATCTCCTCCAACAAGATCCGCAGAGGCTTCAGATACAGAACAATGTCGTTGACTTCCTTCAGCCCTGCACAGAACAAGAACAGGCGCTCGTCCTCACGTGAGCGAGAATCAGCCCCCACCTCCGATGGTCAGAAATGAGGAGGGTGCAGCTGTGTGTGTTAACGAGACCTGCTCCCTTAAGAAACAGGATCTTCCTCAAAAGCGGGACGCCAGGGAAGCTGCTTATGCGGGAGGCGTCCACCCCCCGGGGTTGGCAACAGGCCTGCCCCAGCCCCTCCCAGACGGCACCCTCCTTCCTCGCGGCTCTTGGGCAGGTCAGCGGCTCACCTTCAGTGATGTTCATATACACATTCTGCAGGGCTGGCCAGTAGCAGCTTTTGGCTTTTTCCAGGATCTCAACTATTTTGTTCACTTTGGGCCTGTTTAGCTGAGAAGGAGGGAAGGATATCAACCCTTAAGTGGAAACTCACAGACCCCAGACAAGGGCAACCTGACCCTGTGGCCAGCCAGAGCTGAGGAAGGACGCAGGTTATCTGGGTCCCCTCGGGGCTCCTAGGGGGTCAGCACAGAGAGGGTGGGTGCTTATGAATTCGCCTGGCTGGGACGTGGGCCATCTGGCTGCGAGCAGCTGAGCGCCTGGTCACCACGATGAAGAAGAGGCATCATCACCTGCTCATGGATGCACTTGAGATTCATCAGCCGGGCGTCCCAGAACTCAAACTCAACTCGGGGCAGGGGGTGCAGCCCGTCCAGCAGGGCCTGAGCTGAGTCTTTGCTCAGCACATCTCTGATCTGGTGGGACCAGTCGATGATGATGGTTTCGATGGCGTGCAGCAGCGAGTTGTCCAGGGAAGCAGGGATCCTGCAAAGCAGAAGGTGGGGGAAGATGCTCTCACATCACCCCGCACGTACAGGGTTCTCCCAGCTCTGCCCCTTCTGGGCGGGAATCGTCCCTCCTTCAGCGGCCCTTGGCCAACAGGCCCCAAATAACCATCAGCGGCACCGCGTCCTGCCCTGTCCCTGGGCTCCTCACAGTCACCTTGGGGAGGCTGGAGGATTCCCCAAATCTCCCAGCTAGGAGAGACCCTGAGCAAACGCTGGGTGTTGTCAGAGATGTCAGCACCCCCAAGAAAGAGGAAGAGGAGGACCAACTCTGGAACAGAATCCATGTTTGAGACGGCTCCTCCCAGCAGTTCTTATGGGGGTCACCACAGGGCATGTGTTGGGGCTTGGTGGACAACCTGTACGATGGCCCGTACGATGAGCCCCCCCAGGAGTGGTCACCCTATGACGTGAGGAAATGGAACAAGCTATCACCCTATAACAGCTCCAAGGGCCTCACACACCAGGCAGTTGTAAATGGCAGTCAGGTAGGTGTGAGGGCCATCTTGGAGACCATGTGCTTCCTGGTGCCCCTGGGACACCACAGCCTTTATTTAGACTTGCAGCCTCCACCTGCTAAAAATCCCTTCCATGCCCCTCACTGCCCCTCAGTCCCCACGTCCCAAAGCTGGGTATTCCTTCCTGGCTGCGTGACAATGTGACATCCTTTGCACATCATGTGGTGCCTGGACGGGTACACGTGTGTGATGGAGGTGGGGCTGGAGCACAGGTGTCTGGCGGTCGCCAGAGCTGAAATTGAGGAGGCTCCAGCACCTCACCCTGTCCTGTCCTTGTGCCTTTGACCTCAGACTCAGCACTGCCACCATCTTGCCCTCATCTGTTTCATTAGCTCAAAACCAGTTTGCAGCGGGACAGTTCATGCTTGGTGGTTGCAGATCAGACACCTCCCCATCCCTGGGCCGGGCCTGCCTACCTTTCCATGGACTCCAGCGTGCCGTCCAGGCTCCCCAGGTGCTCTGGAATGGGCAGCAGAGTCTTCCCTTGGATCTTGCCCCCCATCACAAACATTTCATTCTTCAGCTTATGGACTTGCTTCACAATGTCCTCCGAGACCACCCGGGGCCATCCGCTCATGTTTTCACTTTGGTTTAACAGAAAGTAGAGGACCTGAAAGGAAATGACTCTAGTTCTGCCTGTGCCATCTCCAACTTGGTGACACCCAGGAGGAAGGGGGAGCCCTCAGTGCCCGGGGCCTGGGGAAACTGAGTCCTTGTTTCATGCCAGAAGGAGGTAGGGCCGGTCAAGGTGTTTGAACCAGCTCCCGTGTATTTGTAGTGGCAAAGCCCTCTCCACAGAGGGAGCCGCCTGGCAGCCACAGCACACTCTCCTTGCTGAAAGCAAATGTTCCGTGCCTCCTGGAGCGCCGTTGGGGCTGGATTGTGCTCAGCCCCCGGATACACATGTCGAAGCCCTAATCCTCAGCACCTCAGGATGTGACTGTATTTGGAGAGAGGGCTTTTAAAGAGGTGATCGAGTTAAAATGAGGTCACATGGGTGGGCCCTAACCCAATATGATTGTTGTCCTTATAAGAAGAAATTAGGACATAGACACAGAGGGGAGACCATGGGAAGATTCAAGGAGAAGGTGGCCAAGCCAAGGAGAGAGGCCTCAGAAGGAATCAACCCTGCTGACACCTTGATCTGGGGCTTTCAGCCTCTAGGACCTTGGTACTTTGTTATGGCAGCCCGAGTAGACTAGACAGATGCTAGTCCAGGTCAGCTCTGGGCCTGTGGGCTCCTCATTCAGAGGTGAGGGGGCGTTGGCCTGGGTCCTGGCTGACCGGCCCCTGTGCTTCAAGTTCGCACAAGGCAAGGGAACGAGCCCCCATTTCACAGATGAGGAGAACAATGCCTAGAAGGCTAAGTCACTTGAACTCTGGCTGGACTGACTTCCAGAGTGTGCCGCACCTGCCATACCTGCCAGACGTGACAGTGGGAGGAGACGAGACAGAGAGGCACAACCAGTGCCCCGTTTTTTCCCTTCTTTACTCAAAGTCTCAGAACTGAGGAAACCCATCGACCGTATGAATGGCCCACACCTTCCGCAGCTGTGGGCAGGGACTGTACCCAGCATGGTACCGAGGTTCTGATGATGTCAAGAGAGACCAAGGTGATGGCCAGGGATACTCAGCCTTCAGGTGCACAGCATCACCTGAAGGCCTTATCAGAATACAGGTCTGCTTCAGCCGTCAGGGTGGGCGGGGCTGGGCTCCTGCATTTCTAACCAGCTCCCAGGCCATGCTGATGCTGCTGGCCTGTGGACCCCTCTTTGACCAGTGGGCTTCTAGCCACTCCCTGATAGTACGAGAAACAGAGATTGTTCCTCCTGAGGCCTCAGCCCCCGGCCCAGTGCGGGCCGCCTGGGTGCACCCACCTCCTCCACGATGGCAATCAGCTGGTCCACCGGCGTCGGGCTTATGTCCCCGTAGATGAACCGGTCCCTGTAGTTGTCCTTGCTGATGTTTTCAGGTCTCTTCTTGATGAAGTAAACGCCTTTGGACTTGAGCGACGCTGGGAAGCCCAGGCAGGGTATGATCATGCCGGAGGGATTGAGCGTCAACAGCAGCACCAAGACCTCCGGCTTCTCAAAGAATTCGGTGAATAAGGCCATGTTCTCTTCCGCTCCGATCATTTTGCTCCACTTGTCTGGCTTGAACTTCAGGATGACGGAAGCTACTCCCTCCAAGTACTCCAGCCTGACGTCCGGTGTAATCGTCATCTCGACGTATTCTTACACCACAGTCACCTGTCGAAGGAACAGAGACACGGACGTGACACTGCTCCCACCGTCACTGGAACCATTTGAAATCCATGTTCTCACAGGCAAGAGAAAAAGGCTCCTCGTGAGTATGGTGTTTTCAGCTGTGGATGGGCTGGGGAGGGACAAGGGGGTCATGTCCGTCTGCTCTGGCTGGTCAGATGCCACTGCCCCGCTGTGGGTGTCACATGGAGCAGGGCCGCACAACAGCTGTGTGCGCTTGTGTGCGCTGTGACTGTGAAGTAACAGGCTGGAACAGGTAGAGAGGGATGCTGGGGAAAAGGAAATGACTGCAGTGAGATGGTCTGAAGGTGAGGGGTGGGAAAGGCCAGACGAGACGATGGCAGGGTCAGGCTGAAGGGTCCCAGGGAGGCGACAACCGAAAGATGTGGCAGCCCTAGGATATGGGCGAAACTCAAAAGAGGAGGGGGTGGACCTGATGCACAGGGTGTGAGGTCCATCACGCTCTCCCTGTCCTAACCCCAGCCATAGTGTACCCCAACTTTTGCCCTGCTCTTCAGCCTCTCCCCTCCCCCTCGACCCTCACCATGTGCCCATAAAGGGATCCAACTGCAGACTTCCCACAGACCCCTCAGAAGCTGCTCACATTCCCCCTGGGAGAATCTCGGGGACAGCTTCTTGGGGAGGCAACCCTAGGCTGGGACCTCAGGACTTGACAGGAAGAAGCCAGGGTTAGAGGTTTCCAGGAAAAGACGGTGGGCTGAGGCAGGGCGGAGAATAGTCTAGAGTGGCTGGACTGAGGACACCAGGGAGACTAGAGTTTGGGAAGGCGCTGGGCCGGCTATGGGCAGGCTGCACGCCAAGCCCAGACTCCTGATCAGCTCTGAGCGGGAAGCAGAGCAGCTTCTGGCGTGGGTGACGGGTCTACTGTCTGCCAGAGCCTGGGTCCCACCTCTGTCCCCTGGAGCCCCCCTCAGCCTTGCCTCCTAGCACCCTCACACGGGTAAGGGCTGCTCACCAGCTGACGGCAAATGGCTGCTCCAGTCTCATGGGCAGCTCTCTCCCAGACCAGTAAAGGAAATGGCTCCCTTCCCTTGAGGGGCTCCAACTGCCATGGAACTTCTGGAACCTTCTCCTCAAGACTTGAGTGACCAGTGGCAGCGCAGCAAATGAGCAACGCTCCATCACCCCCCAGCGGACAGCCAGGCTCCTGGATTGTAATATTTTAAAACTCCACCAAACAATCTTTGCCTTTGAACTAGAGCATTTAGCCCATTTCATGTAATTACTAATACATCAGGATTTAAATTATTATCTTCTTAAGTCCTTACTATTTGGCTTGTCTCTTCTAGGTTCCCTTTCTTTTCCTCTCTTGCCTTCTCCTGGATTAAATAATTTTCATTATTTCATCCCTCCTGCTAGCTTGGTTGTTATACATCTGGTTTCTTTCAGAGGTACGTAGACATTATAACATGCGTCTTGACCTATCATAGTATGGTAGTCCTTGCTTTTGCTCTCTTCCTGGACAAGGCATTCTCTGCCAACTTATACGTCATTGTTGTCATGAATTTTAGTTCTAAAACTTTATTGTTATTAATAATGTAGTTAAGTAGTTGGTAGTTAAATATTCATTAGATTTCCCCCCATTATCGCTTTTACTTTCCCCCTCTGTGAGCTTTCACCTGGGATCAACTGCTTTCTGCCTCTCTCAGCACTTTCCCTTTATCGTCCGGAAAAGCCAGCTTTGGTCGCCGGGCAGAGGAAGGGGAAGATTCACTTCACTTCCTGGGGCTCATCCCAGCAGTCAGCGAAGGCCAGGAACATGACGCCTCCTCTCGCCACTGTCCTCATCATCCTACCGGGGTTTCTAGCCAGGGAAACCAGGCAAGAAAAAGAAAAAAGAAGCATTCGGATTGGAAAAAAAGAGGTAAACCCATCTCTATTCGCAGATGACATGATCTTGTATGTAGAAAATCCTCAGAAACCCATAAAATAACTATTAGTGCTAATAAAGCAGTTCAGCAAGGCTGCAGGATACGAGATTGACAGATGAAAATCAACTGTGTTTCTGTACACCAGCAATGAACAACCCAGTGATGAAATTCAGAAAACAATTCTCATTTTATAATATCATCAAAACAATTCCATCTACAACAGCATCAAAAAGAATAAAATACTTAGGAATAATTTTTTTAAAAACAAGGGCAAGACATACAGAAAACTACAAAACATCATTGAAAGAAATTAAAGGTTTAAATAAATGAAACAACATCCCTGTTCATGGATTGGAAGACTTAATACTGTTAAGAGGACAATTCTCCTCGAATTGATCTAAAAGTTCAACACAGTCGCTGTCAAAATCCCAGCTGGCTTTTTCTGCAGAAATGGAAAAGCTGATCCTCAATTTCATAGGGAAATGTGAGGGACCAAGAACAGCCAAAACCATCTTGAGAAAGAATAAAGTTGGAGAACTCGTACTTCCTAATTTCAAAACTTACTACAAAGCTACAGTAATCAAGACTGAGTACTACTGACACAGGACAGACATGCAGATCAATGGATAGAACTTAGAGCCCAGAAATAAACATATACATTTATGGGCAATTGATTTTAGACAAGAATGCCACAATTCAGGGCAGGGAAGAGTAGTCTTTTCAACAAATGGTATTGGAACGACTGAATATCCACATGCAAAGGAATGAAGTTGCCTCACACTATCTACAAAAATTAACTAAAAATGGATCAAAGATCTAAATATAGGAGCTAAATTTATAAAACTCTTAGACTAAAACATAGGAGTAGATCTTCATGATCTTGGATGAATCAATGGTTTCTTACATACGACACCAAAAGCATAAGAGGCCAACAAAAAAAAATAGATAAATTGGGCATCATCAAAATGAAAAACTTTTGTGCTTCAAAGGATACTGTAAAGAAAGTGAAAAGACAACCCACAAAATGAGAGAAAATATTTGCAAATCATATATCGCATAAGGGACTTGTATTCAGAATATATAAAGAACTCATAACACAATAATAAAAACACAAACAATATTAATTAAAAATGGGTAAAGGATATAGAGAGACATTTCTCTGAGAAAGATATACAAATGACCAGTAAGTACATGAAAAGATGGTCAACATCATTAGTCATCAGGGAAATGCAAGTCATCAGGGAAATGCAAATCATCAGGGAAATGAACTCATAGGAGGTTCCTAGAAGAGTAAACTATATAGACACAGAAAGTGGAATGGAGGTGACCAGGGGCTGGGAGAAGGGGCACGTCATCCCCTCATTTCCTGTGCTCTGACAGTCACAGCCCATGTGGGGGACGCGCTGAGAGGCTGATCCTCTACTTACAGTCCCCTGGGAACACTTCCTCCCTGCTGAATTAACTCGGAAGACAAGTTCACGACAGACATGACCCAGCATTAAAAGCAATTGCAGGACAATTTTCCCCTGCCGGGGACGCTTGCAGACAGCAGGGGGCCAGGCCATCTGGGTCTCGTCACCCCCCCCACCACACACAACCTCCCGCTGTCTACTTTGGCCACATGTCCTCATGCTGAGTTCCCAGCAGAGGGGACAGGAGGACGGGCCGCCTTTGATGTCCTTGCCCCTGGGTTGGGTGGAAAGGGAAGGCTAAACCCTGCCTGCCAGCCGGGCCAGCAGGAGACTCTTCCTTCACAAAGAGGGCAGTGTGGCCGGAGAGATGTCTCTGCCCGCTAGGTTTTCAAAGGTGCCTACCCTTGCAGTGGAGGCACCGTGGAGGCCTGGGGACCTTTTCTCATTTGGGGTCTCTGCATAGCAAGCCCTGGGGTGAGGCCCCCCCATAAGGCACAGAAATGTGTGGATTCCAAGCCATCAAGGCTGGGAAACAGGGCGGGTCAGTGTGAGGATTTCACAGCAAAATCTGCCTCTGCCTATACAGAGGGAGTGGGTGGTGCTGCCCATGGAAGCAGGTGGTTAGCAGACACGCCTCGTGTAGGCTGGTCAAGGGGGAAAGGAGCCGGACACCAGTTAGAGGCAATAGAGACCGATTTTACTCGGGACTATTGTGAGAGAGGAAAGAGCTGCTCTCAACTCCAAATACAGCAAAGATGGCTGGGGATTTACAGCCACTGAGCAGCACCGGGGAAGGTGGATGGAAGATTACTAACCGCAGACACCGAAGCAGGGAGATTCTTGCTAAATGAACGTAACAGGATTCTCGCTAAAGGCAGCTGAGGACACAGACATCAAAGGCCAAGATGAGGAGCCTGATCCGATGTCAGGGGTCAGGGTGACGTAGCAGGACTCTTTGCTAAGATGGCTTAGGCAGGCCCAGAACAGGCCCAGGGACGAGGCCTGCTGAAGAGAAGGCCCAGAGGAAGCTGTCTGAAGTCTGGTCAAGGAGGGGGTCTTTGTCAGGCTTCAGCCGATAAGGGGTTCTGGGTTTGGGGGAGCAGAAGGGTTGACGGGGCTCAGGGGTTCCCTCCCTTGTGGCTCGGTCTGGCCCCGGGGGTCTGGCCCCATGTTCTCTGCAGTCAGCAGGAGCCCTTCTGTTGTTTGGGGCCAATTCCACATGGTGATGTCCTGAGGCTCTCGCCTGGGCCCCTGTTACTGGTAGAAGCCCCACGGACACTCCCTGACTGGCCGGGGCCAACATTGTGGCTGGCCCAGCCCTGTGGTTCCGCTGTGAGCCCAGGATGGATGCACTTCAGCAAAAACCATCAGGGGGTAGTGAGGAACAAGATTTATCTATCACTCACAGGGCCCGGGGGGCACCCAGCACCTGAGGGCCACACAGCGAGGTCGTGGGGACTGAGAGAGAGTGCACCTTGACCCCAGGCTCTGCCCTTGTTAGGGCCCAAGGGTGGGGTGTCTGAGGTTTCTAGGGGTCACTCATTATTGGCCAGTTGGAAGCATGAGAGTAGGAATTAGGGCGTGGGAGACTGGAGGCAAGGTCCCTCAAGCGGTCAGTTATTTGCTCCCCCGGGGTTTTCTGAAAAGGGACCTTCATGGGTGTGGGGCCCAGCTCCCTATC